CTACTACCGTCTACACAAGGCACTGCTGCAAATGTCCTGGGAGTAGGAGATGGGGGCGAGGAGGCTGTGGAGATAGTGTAACCAAAGCACAGACTCAGGAATCATAGAGCCTTGAGCATGAGGCTCATTTCTGCCTTGGGCAAGCCACTGTGCCTTTCTAAGGCTCAGATAACTCATTTATAAGATGAAGATAATCATAATCAAATTTTATGGGGTTATTCGGCATATTAAAGATTATAATGTACATATAAACTTAGTATGGTCCCTGACATACATTAAATAATTAATACATACATAGAATTATGTTTTGTTATTATTACAAATATAAACAAAGATGCCACCCTGCAGCTGCACTGTATCAAGATAGAGAAATATGAACTAAACATATATAATGCAAGATGGAAAATGCTAAGTGCCAAAAAGAAGTAATGATATTCTATGGAAGTTCGAGGAAGCACTGAGAGGAGGAAGGAGAGAGCCAGAGGGAAGGCTGAGGAAGGTTTGAAATGCTACCTATCCACCCCTGGTAGCATTTGGCCAGGGGTGGATAGGATTAGCACATACAGATGGCAGAACTAGGATACTAATTGTATTTGTGTGTTTAATTATTTATACTGTATTGTATATTAATATACCACAGGCATAAAATGTTTATACTTGACTCACATGAAACATTATCCAGTCAATAGATATTTATTGAGTATCTACCACAGGAAGTTTACCTGGCTGAATAGTTATCCATTCAGTCAATAGATATTTATTGAGTATCCACCATAGGAAGGTTGCTAGTCTAAATGCTAAGAAAACAGCACAGACACCTGCAAAGATATGTTTATGGAAGAACAGTTCACAGTTGCAAAGATATGGAACCAACTTAAATGTCCATCCACCAATTATAGGATTTTAAAAATGTGGTATACAGACATCTTATAATACTATTCAGCCATGAAAAGAATGAAATAATGTCTTTTAAAGCAAATTGGATGGAGCTGGAAGCCATTATTCTAAGTGAAGAAACTCAGGAATGGAAAACCAAGTGCTGTATGTTCTCACTGATAAGTAGAAGCTAAGCTATGGGTAACAGAGGCATACAGGGTTATAATGGACTATGGAGACTCAGAAGGCAAATCTTGGGGGGGAATGAGGGATAAAAAACTACGTATTGGGTACAATGTACACTACTTGGGTGATGGGTGCACTAAAATCTCAGACTTTGGCACTATGCAATTCATCCATGTAATCAAAAACAGCTAGTACCCCAAAAGCTACTGGAATTAAGAAATTTTTTTTTAAAAGACCAGAAAAAAAGAAAAAGAAAACAGCAATGCATAAGCACTAGCAAAATCCCTACCTTCATCAAGCTTCTAGCTCAAGGGGTAATGTTCAGAATTGTTAAGAATAAAAAGACTGACTGGGCACGGTAGCTCACACCTGTAATCCCAGCACTTTGGGAGGCCAAGATGGGTGGATCACCTGAGGTCAGGAGTTCAAGACCAGCCTGACCAACACAGTGAAACCATATATATATACTAAAAATACAAAAATTAGCTGCATGTGGTGGTGTGTGCCTGTACTCTCAACTACTGGGGAGGCTGAGGCAGGAGAGTCACTTGAACCTGAGACAGAAGCTGCAGTGACCCAAGATCATGCCACTGCACTCAAGCCTGGGTGACAGAGTGAGACTCTGTCTCAAAAAAAAAAAAAAAGAAGAAGAAGAATAAAAAGATTCAGAAATAGTAGGTGAAGTATGATCCTATTTAAACATATGTATAGATATATAAATGTACATCTCATAAAAATGAGGTCGTGAATGCATGGTTATGTATAACGAGAAAGCAAGAGCTATAGTTTTCTATAGGTATAAATTTGGAGCAATAGATACAAAAGTATTAGCAGTGATTCTATTTCAGTGGTGGAATTATATTTTCTCTTTTGTATCTATATTTTCCAAATTTGGGAGCAATAAACTTGTACTTAATGCATAATGTTAAAAAGTTGTGTATAATGTATGCAATTAAGCAAATAAGTGCTAAAAGTCAGAATTTAACAGAAATTGCAAACAGCCCTTCTTACTTTCCTATCCCCATTTCCTAAAACAGCCATCACATTTCTAACCCTGAAGGCCTCTTGATGTTCAACTCTTTCTCCTACATCTGCTACCAACCCCATTGTTTGTGAACCATAAATCCTTTTATTCAGCAAAATAAAATCTTCAGCTTGAGGGAAGTGCTTTCCCCAAAAAACGCTGTGCTCAAAATCTGAAGCTTTGGGCTTTTCGAGGGAAAGATACTCTTTTACTGCAAATGATTACTATTCTTATTTGCTTTATAGGTTGTTAAGTGTGTAGAAGAGATTTCAATAAAGCTGGCTAGAAAGTATAATAGCTTATGGATTTTTATGATGGAAAACAAAACCTAACTGAAATTAGGGCCCAGCTGATGGCCAGGCTCTCCCATTCATGGAACATTTCTGATACATACATGTAGTGCTCTCTCCTGGCTCCCAAATGCAGAGGGGACAGGTCTTGATTCACCACTGGGTGCACTGGCAAAGTCAAATTCTAGGCTCAGGTTCAGGAAAAGTTTGTTGGTCATGGCATCACTCCTGGCAAGCACAAATTTATCTTTTTTCCACTGAGGTCCCAGTTTGCTTGGCATGACCTAGTTTATCTGGCAAAGCTAATTCATGGTGCTCCAGCATTTCAGAACTGCCTGCCTCTTGCAAATTGGCTGGGTATGGTGATTTTAATAGGCTTACGGTTTAGAATATATTTTCACATGTCCTTTTATCTCTTTATTCTTTGGTTTCCTATCCCAATCATTCTTGCCTTTTCTTCTTCATTTGAATGCTGAAAGTTTCAACTGTATTTTTGCAGTGCATGCATTTATTTCCTAAGGGTTTTTTCATCCTGATTGACTGGTCACTTGTAATTATGGAGCCTGCTGTCATTTGGAATAAAAAGTAAGCAATTTGCCTAGTAATTTTTGTCTAAGAGATGAAGGTCCAATGGTGATGAATATAATTTGAGGAATGCTTTACACGAATTTGGGGCAAATGAGAAGGACTTATTTAAATATTGAAATGAATATGCATAGATATAATTATGCCAATAAGAAACCTTCAAAATTAAAAAAAGTCTGATTCCTCATCAAGAAAACCATTTATATAATTGTTTCACTTTGTTACTTACAAGTCTTTGAAATTTTCTATTGCTCTTAGGAAAAGCTTCAAGTGCATTAAAGTGGCCTGTAAGACCTAGCCCCAGCTTCTTCTCCAGCCCCATCCTCACATTCTAATCACAACATGATTAATTTCTTTCATTTCCCCTAGAGTACTTAACTCTCTTGCCTCTGGTTCTTCATGTTGTATTTTATCTTCCTGGAACACTCTTCCCAGTCCTCTGTCTGGGTAACTCCTACTTCTTTGTGAGGTCTCTGCTCACAGTTGGTTTCCTCTGAGAAGCATCCCCACATCTGCTTGGTTTGAGTTAAGGGCCCCTCCTCTGTGCTGTGTCATCACAGCAGGTTATTGCAGCTTACTTCTCTGTCTCCTCTACCAATCTGTAAAATAGCCATGTCTTTCTGTTACCATTTTATCCTTGAACCAATCAAGGTGTCTGGCTGGCACATAGTTGGTGCTTAATAAATATTTCTTAACTGAGTGAGCACACTGGAATAATTTGTTGAGAAAAGGAATCAGGATTCAAGTCATTTTCTAGGTCCCATACCCCGCTTTACTTGGGTGTCTGAATTATTCAGGCAATTAAGATTGAACAAATATTATTGAAGACAGGTATGTGCCAGCTGCTTCCACCTACCCTATTTCATTTGATCTTTTTCTTAGCTTTCTATTTTCCAGCTGAAGACAGTCAGACCCAGCGAGGCTGAACAACTTGATCATGGCAACCCATGAATAGGAAGAACCCTAAGTTTCAGACATCTAATTCATTGCTCTTAGCCCTGAATCAAGGTGCTGCCTCTTTAAAAATGTACATGTCTGTTAGGCTGTGTTGCCACAGCCATCAACTAGGCTATCTTATTAGAACATAAGAACCCTTGAATTGCCAATCTGAAAGGCACAAGTGAGACCAAAATCAAAATGCAATCTTGGGAGGGCATTGAGGAAGGAAGCGCTTGTCTGGGAATCCAGACATTTGAGTTTTTGTCTTTCCTGTGTGACACTGGGCAAGCTGCTTAGTCTCTCTGCTTAGTCTTTCTCATCTACACAATGAGTGGGAATGATTGGATAATTTTGTAGGGGCCTTCCCACTTTAAATTCAATGATCTTTGCAAGCTGGTATGAAAGTTAAACCTTAGTACTTTGGGAAAATGCTGGAAATGTTCCAGGAATGACATCACAGATTACAGCCTTATTCCAAGTAGATAACTCCTGGAAGCATATGTCCACTTTTAATTGAAAAAAAATGAAGCATTTGATTTCCATATTGGATCTACTCCTTACCTTAAAATGGGATTTCTGCTATGAAAATGGCCTGATAAGTGATACTGTGGTGTGGGCACATAAAAACCAAACTCCACAGAACTTAGATGTAAAAAATTCTGAGGACCTTAACTTGTGTGGCAAAATGCAGGATATACACCTTTAACAGATTTAGAATCAAGAGATAAATTTCTAGTAGGGCTTTTGAAGTATAGAAACCTCTCCTGGAAAATGGATCTCTTTTCTCTTTTAGGAATGCTGCACATTTTTTGAGAAGTTAATTAAGAACAGTATTGTTTTCTCATTGACAACAAATCAGTAATAACATTTAAGAGTTTTATAGCACCTTTTTTCAAAGAACTTAATGTATTCAATATATCCACGTGAGAAATCCTATTTTTCTTGTTCACAAAATTGCTAATTTGATTTGTCTTAATGACAATGTAAAAACATGTATAACCTATGGATGTAGAAAGAGTTTACATCTACTGAAACTCAGAGGAAAACAAGGAATGGGGTGAACGTCAGTGTTAAATTGTGGGGAGGCACTTCACTTGAGTTTCACAACAACAGTGATGACATAGACTAAGGGAGCAGGGCTCATTATGACGTTGAGTTTTGCTGTGGTCTGAATGTTTATGTTTCCCCAAAACGCACAGGTTAAAGTCCTAACCCCCAAGGTGATGGTATGAGGAGATGGAGCCTTTGGGAGGTAATTAGTCATGAGGGTGGAATCCTCATGAATGGGATTAGTGCCCTTCTGAAAGAGGTCCCAGAGAGCTGCCTTGCCCCTTTCACCAACAGACACAGTGAGAAGGAGGCATCTATGAAGCAGGCTCTCACAGAAGCTGAATCTCCCAACATGTTGATTTTGGACTTCCCAGCCTCCGGAACTGTGAGAAATAAATTTCTATTGTTTGTAAGCCACCTAGTATGCAGTATTTTGTTGTAGCAGCCTGAACAGATAAGACAAGCTTGAATTCGATATTTGGAGTGAAACAGATGTCCCATAGTGAACTCCATAGAACTCCAGGATGAGCTACAAGAGCCAGTGGAAACATAAGATAGGAGAAAAAGATAATGAGCAAGGAAAAAAGGATGTAGTCAATGCAGAAGAAAATGATGCTGAGCTATGTGACTCAGAGGAAAGTGAGATGGGGGGTACGTAAGAAATTGCAAATAGGCCGGGCGCGGTGGCTCAAGCCTGTAATCCCAGCACTTTGGGAGGCTGAGGCGGGTGGATCACGAGGTCAACAGATCGAGACCATCCTGGTCAACATGGTGAAACCCCGTCTCTACTAAAAATTACAAAAAATTAGCTGGGCACGGTGGCGCATGCCTGTAATCCCAGCCACTCAGGAGGCTGAGGCAGGAGAATTGCCTGAACCCAGGGGGCGGAGGTTGCGGTGAGCCGAGATTGTGCCATTGCACTCCAGCCTGGGTAACAAGAGCGAAACTCCGTCTCAAAAAAAAAAAAAAAAAGAAATTGCAAATAATAAAAAGTTATGGTGAGAGCTTGTTGGTATCATTTGGATATCTGTACCCTCCAAATCTCATGTTGAAATGTGATCCTCAGTGTTAGATGTGGGGCTTGGTGGGAGGTGTTTGGATCATGGGAGTAGATCCTTCATAAAAGGCTCAGTGCCCTCTTTTGGTAATGACTGAGTTCTCACTCCATTAATTACAATGAGTCTGGCACTTCACCCAATCAATTCTGTTCCCTCTCTCCCCAGATGACATGCCTACTTCTGCTTCACCTTCCATCATGATTGTAAACTTCCTGAGGCCCCACCAGAAGCAGATGCTTACACCATGTTTCTTGCATGGTCTGCAGGACTGTGAGACCAACAAATCTCTATTCTTTGTAAATTATGCAGCTTCGGGTATTCTGTTATGGCAATGCAAAATGGACTAATACAATTCCTAAGGCTAGAAACATGAGGTCAGAGTGGAAGAGACAGTAAAATAAAGGGTGGTAATTATTAGGGAGTACACTTGACTTGCTATCAAACATGCATTCCTGAAAAGTTGTGTGAATATCTAATTGTTTTAAAGTAAAAACATATTTAATAGTTAATTACTTAAAGGAAATTTATGTTTATAAGGGAAAGGATACTTTTATAACACAAATACCAATCCCCTAAGTTATTTCTTTTAAAATTCCAGATTTTTGACTATGTTGAGTTTTTCTAACTCAATGGGCAATTCAAGCAGGCAGTTGAGAGACATATACACTGTTTTAGTTTTGGGCGTGGCATCAGGAATGGACAGAATGTTCCCAGTTGAAAGAGGCCCTTGAGATTATCTAATGCAACCCCTCATTTTCCAGATGAGAAAACTGAAAATTAAATGCTTCACTCAAGGCTAAGCAGCAGGTCACTGAGAGTTAACCTTTGATTTGTTCATAGTCCTCAGCTGGCTGGCTGGAAAATTAGAGCTAGACCCAAACAGTCCTCCTGCCCAATCAAGGCTCATTCTCTGCATGTCACTTAGCCTGGATGGTTTACTGTGTGTAGAGACTGAAACAAAGCTGCAAGGCAGCTGCACACTTTTGTTCTCTAGGGCCCTTTTCAATTTCAAAATTCTATGATTCTACATCATCACTGAATCTCCTGTTTTTCAAGAACGTTGCCTAAAAGGATTCATTGTAAGATTAGGAGGCAGCCAAAAAGAGAAATAACTGTTATTGGCTCCAGAATGGCCAAGGAGTATAGTAATATATTTTGTAGAAGGAGATAGATAATGCTAAAAGAAGAAATTTATCTCCCAGAAAGCAATAAAGCTTTAAAACTGAATGTAGAAAAAGAAAAAAACCCAGCAACAAAGTTTCTCTTCAGTTCTATCAAATATGGCACCTTGAATTGGCCCAAGTTTCACAGACACCAGGAAACTGTAAGTGTGATGTTTTTGAAGATGCCATACGTCTCCCAAAACACATCATTTTATTCCAGCTCACTCTTCTTTGCACGCCATTTAACTTAGCTTCTTGTCATTTCCTCTTAGAGATTCCACATTATGTCTAGTTCCCCAGAAAAGAAGCCCTTTATTGGTAACTGCAGAAAATGTATTATGTGAGAATGTGGGTTGCAGGGAGAGAGAAAGATTAAATTCAATTCTCAAGCACCACTTTTTTGTTCTTTGCAAAGTACCATAATGCAGACCACAGGTGAGGGCTCTGATTTTAATCTCCGGGTTTGAAAATTGTTTCATTTGTAAGCAGCAGCCTGCATTACCTATTTCCTCTTTTATCATTTTTTGGTTTATCTAGCATACATATTTCTTGCTAAAAAATACTTTAGATCATATACATTCATGTGAAGTCTTTAATGTAGCAAAATTTTTAGTTGGGTTGCCCAAAGAAGAATAAGAGTGTCTGTTCTAAAAGAGAGATCCTAAACGAAACTACTGTTAAATAAAAATCATGTTCCATGGCAACATTGCCTAAATTTTAAATTACATGTAAAATATCAAATAAAACATTGAAATATCCATCATGTGCCTCAGTGTAGATAAAACCATAGAATCAAATAATGGTAGAGCTGGAAGAGATCTTAGAATTTCTGAGAGTTTTTTTATTTTGTAGATAAGAAAACCGAAGCTTATTATAGGCAGATGATGAGGATGACTCTCCATGCACTACCTCAACTGCCAGTCAATAAAGAGCACAAAAAGATCACTAGGACAAATGGCAAATCAAAGCCAGATAGCTCAGACTCCCATACATAGCTCGTTGCTATTTTGTGCAGTTACCTGAATATTGGCAGTCTGCTAAAATACTTGGAACTAAAGAATGAATGATGTGGTTAACCAGCAGTACATGATTTATTCTATTATATAAATTTTAATTCTCTTAGTGTGTATCCAAGCACACTAATTTATAAATTTACAGAAGAAAAAAGGACAAACGATACAGAATAGGTGATATTTTCTTAGTTTTGTTTTTTTTAAAAAAAAAAAACACTGGTTTTACTTTGGCCAATGGAAAATACATTGGACATTGATAATCAAATTTCTTTCTGAAAGCAAACATTTTAAAATTAAAATTCTCTCTATTCCTACTAAATACCCAAAGTGAGAAAATAATGATTGGCAAAATGTCAAAGCATTAGCTTACCGCAGATACCCATACATCTTAGCCAGGCCCTAAGACCACAGGGAGGGGCTGATGTTACCAAGATCATGGAGCCATTGCTATGTTCATATTACTGGATCCAGTTCCACAAATACTGATGCTGTGCCTGTGGTAGAATGCTGGGGCTACACAAATGAAATAGTGACCCATTCCCTTCCTCCAGTACTTTACATTCTAATTGTGAAAAGGACATAAAAAATAGCAAAGACTAGCTCTTTCCTGAGATGGCTGGAGCTCCCTGGGGACATAGAAGATGGAAAACTTGTGTTTGCTCATGGAAACCAAAAGGCCTCACAAAGGAGGTGACATGAGCTGACAATTGAAGGACAAATAAGCATTTTCAGGATGGAATAGGAAGGAAAGAAGCAGCAAGCGGTCATCTTGGAACACCAGCATATCAACAATAGCCTAGAATATTGGGAAATTTTTCTGTTGAAAATATTCTTCAGAAACATTAATATGCTTCTTAAAAAGCATCAGCCAAAAAAAGGAGTGGGGAAGAGTAGTGGTAATGATAAATGATACAGCACTCAGATTTCATGTTGGGCCTTAAGGACTCATTCCTCTTGCTGCTAAGAGTTATGCTGACACAGTCCTCAGCTATCAGCCTTCTTCAGGAATTGCTTCATCTGACAAGAGTCCTCTGCCTAAGGTCTCACCCTTTTTCTGGGCCACATCAAACGACTGGTCAGGGAAGAAGTGTCTCTACTTAAGACAATGCTGCCAATGGACTTATTCCTATTTCAGAGCTCTTTGAGGGATCAGCTGAGGCCGTCTGCATTGTGACACAATTAATTCTCCTTCTGCCCAATCTTACTTTCATCCTTTTATCCTCATGACTATTGACCTAGAGAGGACTCTTTAATAAACTTCCTGCATGCTAATCTCCATCTTCATAGACACAGAGGGATAAGATAACTAAATATTGCAAGATAGATGAAGACATTGAGTATTGCATTTCAATAAGCAAGAGCACACCTGTCTTATAGTCCCCAAAAGGTGGTGGGATGGAATGAGAGGACAGGATTCATCACTAGTTTCTAATAACCCCATCAGAACCTTTTCTTCTAGCACTGTCCATTTAAAATAACTTTGCCTTTTTTTTTCTTCTTTCTAACAACGTCCAACTCGTTTTTACCTTTAGGGGTTCTAAGAGTTTCTTGGGCTTCAGCTTCCAGGTGACTTTTCTTGAGCCTGTTCACCAGTTCTGTTCCTGGGAGTCCTCAGATAATTCCTCTAGCTCATTTAGAATGCTGTGATAAGTATTTCTCAAAGTGTGGTCCTCAGAAAGACCAAATCAGGTGTCTGTTTAAGATGTAAATAATGGGCTCCACTCTAGTCCTACTGATTCAGGGGACGAAGGCAGAGTGGGAGGTTGGAGGGAGGCAGGCAGGGGTTGAGGGGAGGTTAGTATCTATATTATAAAGAGGCTACTTAGAAGATCCTTAAACCCTCAAAAGTTTTAGAATTTGAGAATCTTTTCCTTAGATTTTCTGGAGAATGTAACAAGGAGAAACAGTGGTGTTTCTGAATTGCCTGCTGAGTCAATAGTTACATGTAATTTAGAGAGTTTTATAATTTAGTAATGAAAACAGTATATGCATGCATTTATTCTCATTGTGATGCTGATCAGACTTCAGCTTGATCAGTGGGTGGAATAGAAGCTGTGTAAATCTAACCAGGCTTCAGGAATCATACAACTCTGACCACGTCTGGGAAGGTTCTGGATTTGTTTGGATCTAGAGTGGGGTGTTGGAGAATCATTTTTCAGACAAAACATAGCAGCTTACTAATAAAAAAGGATGGATGACTGTCGGGCAATTTCCAAAGGCTAAGCTTCAGATTCCTATTCAGCTGGAACTGGGAATGGAATACGTGTATATGAGAGAGTTGTAACTAGGGTGCAACAACCAAAGATTTGCCAAGGGGCACTAAAACTAAGAAAGTGCTTCAGCTGTTAAAAATAATTTGTTAAAAAATCAACTTCATTGAGGTTTTAATTAGCTAATTAATTAAATTAAATTAAACATAACTCTTTTGAACGTACAATTCAATGACTTTTTGACTAATACACAGCTGTGCATTTAGAACAACTTTGCCCTTTTTCTTCTGACAACCTCCAAAGTTTCATTACCAATCAAGATAAAGACAGTTTTCATCTTCCCCCAAATTCTTCAGTGCCCTATTTTCAGTCCACCCACCATTCCTGGTGTGAGGCAACCACTGAACTTCTTTCCATCACAATAGATTAGCAGGGTCTTTTGTATAATTTAATAAAAATGGAAGCATGCAGGATGTGCTGTTTAGTTGAAGAAAACATTCACCAGATATAAAATTCTTGGTGACAGTTTTTTCTTTCAGCACTTTGAAGATGCTCCATTGTCATCTCACTTGCACAGTTTAATGATTACTGTGATAATTCTCATACTTGTTTCTCTCTGTGTAATGTGTCTCTTTTCTCTGGTTTCTTTTAAGATCTCCCTAAATGATTTTCAGCTGTGTGTGTGTATGTGTATTTATATAGCTTATATAGCTTGGGATTCATCAAGGTTCTTGGATCTGTGTATTTATTATATTCATCAAGTTTCAAACTTTTTTGCCATTACATCTTCAAACTTTTTTAGTACCTCAGTGTCTGCATCCATGAGATATAGTGACTGTGTCTATTTGATAAAGTATTATTTAAGATAATGCATATAATTGTCTTAGCACAGTATTCAATGTGTGGGATATGCTCCCCAAAAAATGTCTGCTTCAGTTGGATATTATATAATTAATTGTCACAAACTGATCATGTTTAAGACTGAAAAGGGGGCACTATTAATATTCACGCTGTCACAGGCACAGACCAAGACTCTTGCAGGCAAACTGACATATATGGTCATATATGAGAATAAAAGCAGACTGGTATAACTTTTATTTGTAACTTGAGACATAGCTCTGGTGTAGTGGAAGGTTCCTGCTCCCCACACCCCATTAAGGAGTGAATTTGCCCTTAAACAGGAATGAAGGGACCAGGATTGTAGCTTGAACCATGACACCAAACAGTGGTACTGAACAACCTCTCTGAATCTCAGTTTAAAAAAAAATTTTTTTTTAATTACCAGACTTTACTTTTTAGAGGAGTTTGTTGTTTATAGAAAATTGAGCAGATAGTACAGATGGTTCCCACATACCTCTTTCATTCCTCACTCAGTTTCCCCTTCTGTTAACATCTTGCAATAGTATGGCACATGTTTATAATTTGTAGACCAATATGGATCCAGTATTATTAACTAATGTCTATGGCTTACATTAGGCTTCACTCTTGTGTTGTACATTGTTTGAGTTTTAACATGTGTCCACCATTACAGTGTCAGACAGAATAGTTTCATTGCCCTATCAATCCCTTCAGCTCCACCTGTTTACCTCCCTTCTCCGGCCCCTGTGACTATGGATCTTTTTGTTGTTTCTACGATTTTTGCCTTTTCCAAAATGTCACAGAATATACAGCTTTTTCTGACTGCTTCTTTCACAGAGAAATATATATTTGTTTCCTTCATATTATTTATGGCTAAGAGTGCATCTCTTTTTATTGCTGAATAATATTCCATTACAAGACTGTAACACACAGTTTGTTTTTAATCCATTCACCTTTGAAAAGACATCTTGGTTGCTTCCAATTTGGAGCAATTATGAATAAAGCTGCTATAAACATTTGTGTATAGGTTTTCACATAGACATAAATTCTCATTTCATTTGGTAAAACACTAGGGAGCATGATTGCTGGATCATACAGTGAGAGTATGTTCAGATTTTTAAGAGACTGCAAGACTGTCTTCCAAACTGACTGTCCCATTTTGTATTCCCAACAACAATGAATTAAAGTTCCTGGGGCTCCAGGATCTCAGAATTCTTGTCAACATTTGGTATTGTCAGTTTTCTGGATTTCAGCCAATCTACTAGATAAATAGTGGCATTACATTATTGTTTGAATTTGCAATTCCTTAATGACATATGATGTTGAGCGTATTTTCACATGATTACTTACTACCTGTACATCCTCTTGGATGAGGTGTCTGTTCAGCTGCTTCTTCATTTTTTAATTGGGTTGTTTGCTTTCTTATTGTTGATTTTTATGAGTTCTTTTTACATTTTCAATACAAATCCTTTATCAAATATGTGTTTGCAAATACATCAGATATGGGTTTTGCAAAAATACAAAAAAACTGAAAAAAAAACCCAGATATGTGTATTTGCAAGGGCAATCTGTGGCTTGTCTTTTTATTCTCTTGGTCCTGGAATATTTTTATATCCCACCATCTTTCTGGGAATCCAATTACATCTATATTAGACTACTTGATATTTTCGAAAGATTATTGAAGCTGTGCTGTTTTTTCCAGTCTTTTTCTTGTGGTCTCTGTGCTTCAGTTTAAATAGCTTTGATTGATTCAGCTTCAAGTTCACAAATATTTTCTTCTGCACTATCCAATTCATCCAGTGAATTTTTTCCCATACATTGAATATTTTTATTTCTAGAGTGTCTTTATTTCTGTTGGGGTTTTTTATATTTTTAATTTCTCTTCTCAGTTTTATGTTCCTTTATATATTTGAACATATTTACAATAGCTACTTTAATAACTTAATATCTGCTAATTCTATTATTTCTGTCATTTTTGGATCCGTTTCTATTGACTGATATCCTCCTAAGTTTTGTATCACATTTTGCTTCTGCTTCTCGTGCCTAGTAATAATTTTTTTTAATTGAATCCTGGACATTGTGAGTTTTGGGATATTGAAAGCTCTGTTAGGGCAGGTGTGGAGTAAACTTTAGTCCAGGGCTAGTTCATTTTATTATTAAGATGTGGCTCTTCTGAGGTTCTATCCGATGCTCTGTGTAGGCCAATCATTTTGGTTGATCAGAACTTCAGTATTACCCCGGCCTGTGTGAGCTCTGGAAATCATTCTGTTTACAGTTCCCCAGTCATTCTTTGCCTGACCTAGAGGAATTCCACCCTGTAATTGGCTTAGTTTAGCAAAGAACTTGAAAAGGACCCTGAGCAAATTTCTGGAATGTTTTATCTGCCTCTTAAATGGTGGCTTTGAACCTCAATGTCTGTCTCTTCCACTCATGATTCTATTGTGCTCTACTTAGGATTCCCCACCCCACACTGCTTTCCAGAAGGTAACACACATCTCCAGACAGAAAGCCAGGGCAATCATGCGACTCACCTCATTTATTTCCTTTTCTTGCAGGATCACAGTCCAGTGCTGCCTGATGTTCCTTGTCTAAAAACGGTTATTTTGTATATTCTGTTAAGTTTGCAGGTTACGGTGAGAGAGTGTCATTCCAATTATTTCGCCATGGTTGAAAGCAAACTTGCCAATGTTAAATATTTTTTCATTTATGCAATCTTTCCCCAGCTGTGGTTGAGACCTTATTCTAGCTCTGAGCCAGGCCCTTTGATTGATAAGTAGTGAAAGACCTAGGCAAGAGGGGTCTCTTTTCTGGGTGCCACACTTTAGAGGACCATACCAATACACACATGAATTATAAAGAGCACACAGACAGTAATATCTCTGTTAGTTGAGATCTGGTACTCAGCACTGACTCAGCAGGACCCATAACTCAAAACACACACTTTGACTTAACTGATCAGGCCCCAGGGAATGCATCTTTACATCTCTTGCCTTATGTTTCTGAATCAAAATTGTTGTAAAATATGACTTCATTTGAATGCCATGCCAGATTGGGCTACTGGTGATTTCAGAGAGAGACTGCTTTAGGGTGCTGGGACCATTTGAATGGTGGAAGTACGTATTGAGAGAAAGACAAATTAACTTGTCAAATTATTCCACTCAGACAATCTGAATATAGTAAATTCTTATTGATCATTTATTATTTGCCAGTAGTGCCAAATGTTTATTTTCTTGCTTCTGCTTCTGCTACGATTTGTGGTGCCAGAGGCACTCACACACTATTGTAGTAGTTGCAGCACTTGCCTGGAGCGGCTAAGGAATGCATGGAAAGATTTTAAAAATTAATATTTCTCTCAAATTTGTATACATGTAGAAATAGATATAGCACGTGTAAAGTATGATGCTGATGATTTGCCCCACTATCCATATAGAAATTGAATACTATAATTTTTTTTTTCTGAGATGAACTCTTGTTCTATTGCCCTGGCTGGAGTACAGTGGAATGATCTCAGCTCACTGCAACCTCCACTTCCCAGGTTCAAAGGATTCTCCTGTCTCAGCCTCCCAAGTAGCTGGGATTACAGGTACCTGTCACCATGCCCAGCTAATTTTTGTATTTTTAATAGAGACAGTGTTTCACTGTGTTGGCAAGGTTAGTCTGGAACTCCTGACCTCAGATAATCCACTCACCTCGGCCTCCCAGAGAAGCCTAGAATTTTGCATACATTAAATTTTATTAAAATATTTATTGGCTAACAAATTTGCACAAAAGCAAAATTTATCATTTCTGCATTATTTAAACAGTTTTAATAACACTTTGATATGAAGCATAATTTGTTTTTCTAATTTAATAGAAAATTTTGAATATTTCAGTAGAAATGCAATTTTAAAAGCATGAAAACATTTAATTTTTAACATTCAGTTTAAATTTTTGATAAGATATATTCAAGATTTGTGTATTTACAATAAATTATATTTTAATATTTTATATCATGGGAATGAGTATAGGTTGAAATCATGTTAAATGTAGAAAATACAAAAATGTAATTCAGTTAAGTAACTGAAAGGAAAAGCAGACATCACATACAAGGGTGTATAACAAGGTAGGGGATAAAATGTATGCTATTTAACAGTTGGTTGATTTGAGTTGTAACTTTTACATGTTTACATCTACAATGTGAGAGGCATCCTTTGGCCTTTAGCCTTAGACCCCATGAATATGATGGGTAAGCTTGAAAGACAAGGATGGAAATGAAATCTCATTAGTTGAGAGAGGGTCCCATTGTGTGTGTGCTGGGCTCAGACTTGGGTGGGTGTGGTGGGTAGTACAGGAAGACTGATTGGAGAATGTCTCTCTCCAGAGTTGCTAGTTATGGCCCTGGATTAATTGTTTGCTATCACCAGTGGTGGTTCTATGGTGGGGTTGAGAGGAAGAAGGCTCAGCTTGAGGGCAAGATTGCAGACAACAAAGGACTGAACTGCAAGCAGGATCACTGAGGCAAACATTTGTTTATACAAAAAAGTCAGAGACATTGGTGGTGGTGTTTGGGGTGGTGGGCAGAGCAGACAGGAAATGCCTGCCCTACCTGCTCTCTGGAAGTTCCAGTGGTACAGTGGCACCCTTGGTTACAGGCTCCCAGAAACCAATTGTACTGGATTCCAGGGAAACTTCCCACACTGGTCAGGATTGTCCCAGGCTCTGAGCTGGTGAAACACATCACTGATTCCAGCTCAGTAGAAAAGGAGGAAAAAAAAATGAGGGATATTTTTAATCTATCCCATGTGATTAAGAATAGCATTTGCAGTAAAGTCATATAAACAGTTTAGTCAAAAACACCTCGCCAGGCATGTCTCCTATGACAAAATTTATGTTCTGTCTGTGCTCCGCTCTGCTGGGTTACTGCAGCTGAACCAAGATTGATGGTGTGTTGTCTTTGTGCCAGTAGCTGAACTAGGGACTGAGAGAACTTTGGTCAGGAGAGAACTGCTATCAGTGTTGAGTGGGCTGCATCCACTGTGAGAGAAAGTTGTGCCTTTGAGAAATAGCTACTGAAACAAATCGGAGAAATTTTAAAATAACCATGTGGGACTATTCATTTGGCTAGCAGAGAATGCATGTTTTTTACCAAAGTGATTGCCATCCTTTGCAAACAGTGTCACCAAAGCCCAAATTGATGATTGCCTTTCCCAAGGTGAAACATTAGTGCCAGTCACAAATCAGCCAAAGACCATAAAGGGAGGGGCTTGCTGTTTTCATATCTGTGTCTCCAGGACCTAGTTCAGTTGTTCTCAACCCTGGAGGCACATTACAAAGATCAGAGGAACTCTAATGCCTAAGTCTCATTTCAGACCAATTAAATCAGAATCTCTTAGACATTGGGCACTGGCACATTCCATTTTTTTAAGTTTCCCAGGTGATTGTAAAGTGCAGTCATGGTTGGATCTACTAGGCCAGCTATCGAGCTATCAATTACATAGTAATTGCTCAATAAACATTCAGTAAACTAAATCTGGCATAAGTACCTTTTGCAGATTCCCCTTTAACTTAGAAAGGGAAAGGATGGCTGGACTGTAATCCCAGCCCTTTTAGGATGCAGAGGTGGGTGGATTGCTTGAGCCCAGGAGTTTGAGGCAGCCTGGGTCACATAGTGAGATCCCATCTCTACCAAAAAAAAAAAAAAAAAAAGAAACAGATGAGGAGAGGACTGCAACCTTTTATTGTCAAACTGCAGGTAGAACCAGAGCATTTTATCTAGAGGTATAGTCTCATGGCCATTAAAAAGATGTGTGGGGTGACTTCAGGCTCTTTTAGGAAGTAGCAAGGTGATAGCCCAGGGCTGTGATGAAAGCATTAGAATTTTCAGGTTGTACCACAGTTGCTCATTTTGTAGAATGAAAAATATCTGTTCAGATTTGCCCGTCTGTGCATTTATCTTAGATGCAGCTTCCTCTGGTACCTAGAGGAAAGTGTGACCTAGGGTTCCTAGCAAACGGACAAGAATGTTCATTTTCTGTGTGCAAAAAAATGCATAACTCCAGACCACTCGGTTCTAGGAGCATTGCATTTGTGCCAAAATATAGGTCTGGATTTAAAGGGGGCCTCTAATTTATATACTTTGTATTTGTTGAAGACCAAAGAATTATATAGGAATTTGTGTACAAGATCAATATTAACACATTAAACTAGCATTTCTAATGCTAATGAATATATTGGGAGCAAATGTTAATGGCTCTTACTTTTCCTTTCTCTTATTCCATGGGTAGGGGAATGAGTGTCTACCTATGCACAGATGGCTACTTTCGGTAGTGTTTTAAATTATAACCGGTTCTTTATGGGAAGTTTCCTAATTTGGATTATTGGCTGTGTATGGCTGAGTCCAAGAGTGGGCCAAGTTATGACTGTCAAAAGGAAGAACAGTACGCTAGTGTTGCAATGTTTTTCATTGTTACTTTGTACCCTCTAGTAACTTGTCTTTTTTTTTTTTTTTTTTTTAATGAGACTGAGTTTTGCTCTTGTTACCCAGGCTGGAGTGCAATGGCGCGATCTCGGCTCACCGCAACTTCCGCCTCCTGGGTTCAGGCAATTCTCCTGCCTCAGCCTCCTGAGTAGCTGGGATTACAGGCACGCGCCACCATGCCCAGCTAATTTTTTGTATTTTTAGTAGAGACGGGGTTTCACCATGTTGACCGGGATGGTCTCGATCTCTTAACCTCGTGATCCACCCGCCTCAGTCTCCCAAAGTGCTGGGATTACAGGCTTGAGCCACCACGCCCGACCGTAACTTGTCTTAATAAAAGATATGCTTAAACGTTTTTGGGTTGCTTAATAACTTATATAAGCTACTTTAAGTTATAAAAATCATAAAAGAATGAATGGAAAAATAGATAGATAGATAGATAGATAGATAGATAGATAGATAGATAGATAGATGAATGCCCCAACAACAGATACTGTAGACACCCGTGGCTGCCCCATAAGTTCTGGGATACAAAACTGTCCCATCTTAGTTATAGATTCATTCAGGTTTTGTATGCAGAGAAGGAGCTGTTATCTACCCATTGATAGGGAACCTTATATTGATATCACTTAATGTAAGATTATGTTCTGTTGTGGTCATCAGCCCATAATTTCAGATGTTTCTTGTGTCCTTGTGTCTGTAATGGACAGCAAAGGTGGAATAAAATGACATGTTTAGAGTATATCACAATAGAAATTATTTTTAAAAAACATACTTTATCTTTCATTATCTTTACTGCCTTATACATTTAATGAACAATAAGAAAGCTTTTTTAAAAGAGTGCTGCCACTTGTAAGATGAGAAAAGTGTTGCTAAATCTTGATAATTTCATAGATGGAGACCTGGAATTATCTAGACCACTTTATAGATGAGGGAACTGAAACCCAGAGAGACTGATTTGTCTTAGATCATGCAACAGCACACACAGAACTGGGGCCCAGGTGGAATATAACCAGTCAAGCTTGATCAGGAAGCAAAGCCTAATGGGGTTCCTCATCACATACAGAATTGACAGAGTCCTATTTTTCTCTACTATGAATAGAGAAAATCTACTTATCAAGGCAAAGAGATATGGGAGGTAGGAATGGGGAGGAATAAGAAGTTGTGGGAAAGGGACGGTAAATGTGTTTGCTAGGAGTGAGCATAGCTGTAGATACTATCTTTTTACTAGCTGTGGGCACTGTCAGGATTTCATTGGGAATTGGCCACTTGGAAATTGATAGCGTTCTGAACTTAGGTGGTAGCCCCATCGTATCACTCGCAGAATTGACTTAAGGTGCCTGGGTTCTGTCCTTTTCACTAACTGACCCCTTAGCATGACAACACCACCCTTCTTGCTCTGATGGTAATCCCACGACTCTAAGTTGCAAGTGGTCCCCACTACAGTGTACCATTTGAGTCAGTCTAGTTTTGCAACTGTCTCTAGGACAGAATTTCTAGTCCAGACATTTTAGGAAAACAATACGAGGGATGTTCAAAAAGTTCATGGAAAATGTGTATTATAGAAAAATTATGCATGGCTTTCCATGTCTTTTTTTGCAGCAAAATCAGTTCATACTAATTTGTTATAACGTGTGAACAGGATCTAGCTTGAGGCTAAAAAGGATAAGACATCAGTTTGAAAAGAGCCCATATAACAGCAAAATGAATTCTGCTGAAATTGAAGCAAAAACAAACATCAAATTGATGATGAAGCTTGGGAGAAAGAATGGTGAAAGCATTAACAATTTACAAAAAGTGTATGCCTCAAAGAAATCAGCAATTTACAAATGGATAACTTCTTTTAAGAAGGATCGAGATGATGTTGAAGATGAAGCCCTCTGCAACAGACCATGCACATCAATTTGTGAGGAAAAAAAAAATCATCTTGTTTGTGCCCTAATTGAGGAGGATCAGCAACTAACAGCAGAAACAATGTACAACACCACTGACATCTCAACTGGTTCAGCTTACACTATTCTGGCTGGAAAATTAAAATTGAGCAAACTTTCCACTTGATGAGTGCCAAAATTGTTGCACCTAGAACAGGGGCAGAAAAGAGCAGAGCTTTCAACAGGAAATTTAAACAAATAGGATCAAGATCTGATGCGTTTCTTTGAAGAATTGTAACAGGAGATGAAACATGGCCTTACCACTATGATCCAGAAGACAAAGCACAATCAAACCCGTGGCTACCAGGAGCTGGAAGTGGCCCAGTCAAAGCAAAAGTGAACTGGTCAAGAGCAAAGGTCGTGGCAACAGCTTTTTGGATGCTCAGAGCATTTTGCCTGTTGACTTTCTGGAGGGCCAAAGAATGATAACATGTGCTTATTATGAGAGTGTTTTGAGAAGGTTAGCCAAAACTTTAACAGAAAAACGTCTGGGAAAGCTTCACTAGAGAGTCCTTTTCTACCACAACACTCCCATTCATTTCTCTCACCAAACGGGCAATTTTGCAAGAGTTTCCATGGGAGATCATTAGGCATCCACCTTACAGTTCTGATTTGGCTCTTTCTGACTTCCTTCTCTTTCTTAATCATAAAAAGAAAATCTTTAAAGGGCATTCATTTTTTGGTCAGTTAAAAATATAAAAAGAACTGCCCTGACATGGTTGGATTCCCAGGACCCTCAGCTCTTTAGAGATGAAATGAATGCCTGGTATCATCACTTACAAAAGTGTTTTCTTGGCCTTCATGGGGCTTATGTTGAGAAGTTAATGGTTTTTATTTTTATCTTTTAATTCAATTTTTTCCACTAAGTTTTTGAAGTCTCCTCATAAAAGTAACATGACAAATTAAACATTGATATCACAGTGATGAATGATAACAGCATTCCTCAGCAATTGTATTTTACAGAGTCTGCAGAGAAGGGAAGAGTGAATTATTTCATACCAATTGATATGTTCCTAAGATTGACTTGAATGGGATTTTATTGCATTGTCCACATGCAGGCAAGGTCAGGGAGGTTAGGTCATCTATTTGTCAGTATTTTTAACCTTCTTCTTGTTGTACGAAGAAGGGGTTTTTTGGTAGTGAAAGTGAATTTGACTGGGAGTCTGAAAACCTGGGTTTGGAAGCCAGTTATGCTAGGAGGGAGTTGCTTGAGGTTGCATTGTCCCCCTTGGGCCTCATTTCTTCATCTGAGTAATCAGATAGTGACACTAGCAAGCCTCTGGATTTTCTTTTGGTTCTGACACTCTAACTAGTATGTTATGGTTCTAATTATTTCTTCTATCCTCTTTTTCCCCATACATAGATCCCTGATAGCAGTATGTGGAGAGGGGGACCTGCAAGCTAGCCAATGCTTGGGATTTACGCACTGGGCTATTTATGACTAGTCCACCAGCTGTGGCATCCTTCACCGGGCTACTTCCTCTCTTAGACTTGTCACCTATAAACCTCACTGAGCATGCTCATCATTCCTTTTTCTCTTGAAAAAGCCATTCACTTCTAAGAGACTTCAAATTCTTTCTCCCGAGCCATAGTCTCTCCACCCTCTAGTAAGGGAGACTCTGGTACAAAAATTTCCCCTTTCTGTGCTTAGTACCTAATTCTAGACCTCAGTCTGAAGATACATAGAGGAAATTGTCTACTTGGAAACCTGTTAATGTAGCCTCATCAGAGTAGCCATATTTTTATTTGGTGATTTTGAGATTTGAAACATACAAGATAACTTTGAAAATAATTTGACACTTTAAATTTCATTTTTTGTTCCAAAAAAGCATCTAGTACATACAAACTTAAACTTTTAGAAATACGCTGCATATGATCAGCTATGCTTTCTGCTGATCTTTACGCTTCCATAGTTCCTTGGGCTCTCTTTGTAATGGTATTCTTTGGTCCTAGAGGAAGCCTTTTACCCAGGAAATGAAAGTCTGCTGTTTTCTCTGACAACCTTTATTCTGTGTTTCTTTGGGATAGATTCCTGAGTCATGTAACCAGTGAAAAAATGCCAAGGTATTTTATTAAAATCTCCCTGGAATCTGTGAGACATCAAAGAATTACAGCAGCATTAGAACATTTTTTGACCTAAAAGGGTTTGACTGTTCTAGAATCCAAATCCTCTCTCTACAGATAATGAAACAGAACCAGAAAGGCCAAGTAACTTGTTGGGGTCACAGAGCTTGCAAGGAACACGGCAGGAGAAGTAAAACATTGGTCTCTTAATTTTTAGCACACACATTTTTAGGAGGTTGGGAAGGTAGAGTGAATGGAACAAACCTTTTGGTGACTCCATGCTCTAAGGAAGTTCATTTTTCAATGTTGCATTTTAATGTTTTGTTATTGTTTTATCTTTTTATCTTTTTTTTTTTTTTTTGAGATGGAGTTTCGCTCTTGTTACCCAGGCTGGAGTGCAATGGTGCGATCTCGGCTCACGGCAACCTCCTCCTCCTGGGTTCAGGCAATTCTCCTGTCTCAGCCTCCTGAGTAGCTGGGATTACAGGCACGCGCCACCATGCCCAGCTAATTTTTTGTATTTTTAGTAGAGACGGGGTTTCACCACGTTGACCAGGATGGTCTCGATCTCTTGACCTCGTGATCCACCCGCTTCGGCCTCCCAAAGTGCTGGGATTACAGGCTTGAGCCACCATGCTTGGCCTGTTTTATCTTTTAACAAAAATCTCCAATGTTATAAAACCATATCCAGCACTATAAAATATATTTAATATGTATGGCAAGAATGTCTTCTTTGACCAGGGTAGTAAACTCAAATGCTGCAGGGGTCAGGTAGGGTACGGGGAACAAAGCCAATACGAATGGACGCTTCTGGCAAAGCCTTCCAGTTGCCTTGCCCTCCCCCTTTCTCCTTCTCTGATACAGACAAAGCGCTGGACTGACAAAACAGTGAAGCCAGTGGGTGACCAATGGACTTCTCCTAATGGTGACTGCAGGTTCTTTTACTGTAATACATACAAGCAAGGATTCCTCATCCCCAGCATAGTACCTTCAATTTCATAGGTAGCCAATAAATTTTTTTTCCAGTGGGTTAGTGTTTAAATATGTATTGAGACTGGAAGTTTAAATTCAGTGTAATTATCTGCTTTTGTGAAGATAAACTAGTTCAGATCTTCAGGAAAATCTTTCTAAAATTTACCGTGTAGAGTGTGCCAATTCTTAAACTGTGAGTACCTTGGGAAGGTCCTCAGTCATTCACTTTTTTTTGAGATGGGGTCTTGTTCTGTCACCCAGGCTGTAGTGCAGCAATGCTATCTCAGCTCACGGCAGCCTCCTTCTCCCAGGCTCAAATGATCCTCCCACCTCAGCCTCCTGAATAGCTGGGACCACAGGCACATGCCATCATGCCCAGCTAATTTTTGTAGTTTTGGTAGAGACAGGGTTTCACCATGATGCCCAGGCCAATCTTGAACTCCTGAGCCCAAGTTATCTGCCACCTCAGCCTCCCGAAGTGCTGGGATTTTACAGGTGTGAGCCACTGTGCCCAGCCAGTCATTCACAACTTAATGTGAATCACATTTGCTTTGCTTTCTTCCTCAATTGCATTTGAATGGAGGAAGAGGTAAAGGAAAAAAAGAATTTTATGCCGGGTGTGGGGACTAGGGAGTCTGGCCTCACTACAAAAATGGACGACAGGAAGAAGGGCTTTGGAAGGCAGAATGAAAAGCAGAAAGAAAGATGAGAGTAGTAAACAGTGCCTATTTCACAATTTGGTTTAAGGCTGGCATTGTGGGATTCCAGTATGAAGGAAATGGGTTCACTTTCAGATGCAGATGACTCATAAGCAAGCTCATTATAAATCCTTTGGAAAAAAAATTGGCCCTGTATTCTTTCTTTATCTGAATCTTTTCCTGCCTTTAATTTCAATCTCTTTCTCTGTCTCTCTCTCTCTCTCTCTCTCCAAACCACTATACCAGATAAACATATTTCCCCATTTATCACTGAGGCCAGGTATCTTCAGTTACATCACCATCATTTTAACCACAACACAGCCTGGAGTTCATCACACCCATCAGGGCTTCAGGCAACCTGCCCGACACATGTGTTTGGTTAGAGGGAATCAGGAGCAGAAGTGCTCTCAATTGCACTTTTCAAGACCTGTTATGCACTCGTGCCAACAGATGGGGAAAATTTCCTTCCAAAGCTGCCAGGAAGAGCCTCCAGCTGTTTTCACTGAGCTAAAGTGCACCTGCACCAGAGGCTGCTTGTTACAGCAGCTGCCAAGATGTGTTGGGGAAGCAAGCCACACTTAGCATCATGCAGTGGTGTCATGGACAATTTGGAGCCAAGAAGATTCAGAGGAAAGGATACTGGGCTTCACATCAGATGACCTGGGTTTAGTTTCTAGCCCTTTCTTCACAGGTGGTCTTGAGTAAGTCCCTCAACCTCCCCAAGCTTAGGTCTCCTGGTCTGTAAATAGATTCTAGCTTCTGCTCTACTTCTCAATTATGGCTGCTATTTCTTTAGCTCTTGCTCTATACTTTTGAACAGAGACTTGCTCTGTTGCCCAGGCTGGAGTGCAGTGGCGCAATCTGGGCTCACTGCAACTTCTGCCTCCCAAGTTCAAGCGATTCTTCTGCCTCAGCTTCCCAAGTAGCTGGGACTACAGGCATGAGCCACCATGCCCAGCTAATTTTTGTATTTTTTTTTTTTTTAGTAGAGACGGGTTTCACTACATGCTGGCCAGGCTGATCTTGAACTCCTGACCTCAGGTGTTCCACCTGTCTTGGCCTCCCAAAGTTCTGGGATTACAGGCATGTGCCACCACACCCAGCCCAACATACATTTCTTAAATAAGCAGCCAACAGAGTCTTTTCAGGCCAGTGTCAAAACTGGACCATGCAAGATTTTCTTCAGTATTGTAGGGAGGTTTTAGTAATAGGGAAAAGAAAATGTGGAATTAATCTGTTTCATGGCAGCAAAGCATGCTTTTTCAAATCTTTGTGTCTTCGTGGCTTCCAAGGTATCTGCATGTCTTTTTTCTACAGACACCTCTCTGACTCATATGGCCAGTGGAACTTGCATATTTTACAAAAGAGTTACCCAGACCTGGGTTGAAAACTCTGCTCAAACACTGACACATGGGTGTGCCAAGCAAGTTCGTTAACGTCTATATCTCCTGACAACAAAACCTAAAACCTCCCTCTTGGGAAAGGTAAAGAGTTAATATATGAAATGTACTAACACAAAATGGGATCATATGTGGCTGGTGTGTGTGTGTGTGTGTGTGTGTGTGTGTGTGTGTGTCTATCTCCTAATCTTTCAGTTCTTTCCGTTGCCACAGTTTGTCTGCTGCAAGCCTCTGTGAGAAGTGGTCCTGGTGGCCGTCCAGTTGGGCTGGCTGGTGCTGCTGGTGGAGCTGCTCCGACTCACTGATTTCAGAGTTTCCACTGGCCTCTCCACCATGCACCTTCAAATGTGTCCTTAGCTAGTTTGGTACTAGATGGACTGCTTGCTCTAGCAAACACATCTGAATGATTTCTTTTGCAAGAAAATTGTATTAAGTGCTTTGTTTTTTCCCACGGGAAAACATCCCCCTGGTGCCTGATGGTTGGAAATGTTACCCTAGATCTATCAATGAGTAAATTCTCTGGAAGGAAATGAAGCCTTGGGGCAGAAGGAATATTCATTCTTCAAGGGCACAACTGAATTACTTTCTCATATATTTGAGAGTCCTAAAAGCATTTTTTTTTCTTCACATCCTGAGAGGATTTAAACTTGTTTCAAAAATGCATGCCATAAAAATTAAATAACAAAGGTGTCAGATGTAGGTAAGAATTCAAAACACTAGGAAAGAGCAGCATCTTATTGCTACTATTGTCAGGTGGCCAATTTGTTATCAGGCTTCTCAGTGGTGAAAATAGAGAAACTCTCTTTTTTAAGAGCTATTGCGTCATATATAAATGCAAACTAACTTTTTCTCAAGCCAAAAGGAATTCTTTGTGACCTTTCTCCCAAGGAAAGGCATTACAATAACACTCTAAGTCCTAGTTTGACTCAAATTTCTGCACAACTCAAAACCCTGGGGACATTTTGTCAGTTATCTTGGGCCTAGGAAAGAAGTATAGCAGTGTTTATGTGCACACAGACAGAAAAAGACTACAATCTCTAATCGCCTATGCTTGGGCGTCAGGGTGATGTGAGCCTGCCCTGGTTCTTCTACATGGCAGCATTATGTAATGTAGCATAATTGCAAACAGTACTAAATGTGATTTTAGATTTTTTTTTTCTTGAGACGTAGTTTCACTCTTGTTGCCCAGGCTGGAGTACAATTGTGTGAACTCAGCTCACTGCAACTTCCACCTTTAGGGTTCAAACAGTTCTTGAGCCTCAGCCTCCTAAGTAGCTGAGATTACAGACATCTGCCACCAAGCCCAGCTAATTTTTGTATTTTTAGCAAGACAGAGTTTCACCATGTTGTCCAGGCTGGTCTCATACTCTTGACATCAGGTGATCCTCCCATCTTGGCCTCCCAAAGTACTGGGATTACAGGTGTGAGCCACCGTTCCTGGCAGATTTTAGATAATTTAACTTAAGGGAAAGTTGTATTAGGTTGGTACAAAAGTAATTGCGGGTTTTGCTATGGCAATTACTATTGCATCCACATAATATTTCTCCTTTAAGGTGTGCCAAAATATCTCTGTCCTATGATGTTCTGGGGCATTTCAGAAATCCCTGGCATAACCCCTAAGAAGTATCAGAGACCTCCTGTGGCCTCTGCATTGATATGTCTCAATTAAAGAAGTGCAGTGATTCATTTTCATGTCTGCTCCTCAGTAAGCCTCTGAGAGTCCCGAGGGGAGGCTGCCTCTCCTTCTCCATCATTGAATGCTGGTGCCAAGCTTGGTGCCCAGCCTGGTGCCTTCTATAGTGAACATGGAGCAGAAGAGCGAAGATGATGTGTGGTTCTAAGTACTTTACATGGTGTTTCTCATTTAGTCCTTCTAACAACTGTATGAGGTAGTTACTCTTATTATCCCTATTTTACAGATGAAGAAACCATGGCCTAAAGAGTAATTCCCTCTTTACTAGAAGTAGATGTTAAAAGAGAGAATTTAAGGCCATTATCTCAACCAATACACTATAATGAAGACTGAGTCTGAATTTTCAAGGAGGTCAGCCAGTCTTGGGCTTGGGAGGCTCTAAACATGTCAGTGGATTGCGTCACAGAAAAAGTAAAATCTTGTGTGTATTGATATGCTTCTGTTTGAATTCCCTCTTACTCTCACAGTCCCAGGAATGAGGTCCCTCTCTGTTGGCCAACAGACATTATATTCTGAAGCCATGGAGTATCCCTAGGGCAAGCATGGCTGAGCAAACTGAGTAGTTTTATAGATCTTTATTTCTTAAAGAAAGATTCTTTATTTCTTAAAGCATGGTATCATTTTTAAATTTAGTAATAAAGCTAAATAGGTGTGTGGATGGCATTGCATTAACTTATTGGAAGCTACTAGGTAGAAAAATAGAAGCAATAATCTTTGCTTCTAATTTCTCCTAAATATTTACTCTCTCTGAAAGCAAACTACTGTTTACAACTTTGTGTTAATTCACCCTAAACTCAGCAGATTCTTAAGTGGTCTGACATCTTTAAATAGTTTTCTGGGGGAAAGAATGAACCAGTTGCACTAATCTAATGTTGCCATTTTCTCTAACATTTTGATAAATAACCCCTGTGCTGAAAGGGAACTATGTTCTTTTGATATGCTTCACATATTTTTTTCCAAGGGCATCCCAAATGGGTTGACTGCAAATATTTCTACTAATGAGATGGCTTTAAAATATTACTGCTGCGATTATAGGCATAAATAGTGAGTTTCATTAGGTTGCTTGAGTCCCACTTTGATGGCATAGTAAATCTCAGAACAACCATGCATAGTAAATAGGTGAAGAGCTTTTTGGATGTAATTAATTTGTTCTAACATCTCTACTAGCTCTCTCAACATTGCAGTTCTAACTCAGTCTCAAGCTACTTTAAGTAAAGGAAACTACTGAAGACTGTTATAAGGACTCTGCATGAACCCAAAGGATTACTACAAGAAGAAAAAAAAAAGCTCTCCAGTTTGAGAGAGACATGAAGGTATTGGTTAAATTCTTCTTCAACTTCACTAATACTTTAATTTGGTTATCATCTCGGCTCTAACACATGTCACCTGAAGTGCTGTCTGGCAACATATTCACGATAAATCTAACTGAATCACATCCTTCATGTTCTGTTGTAAATGATATGATTGTACTTCATCTGTTCTTGGATGGTTGTTCCTTTAGGTGTAAATACTGATGAACTCAAGGTTTTATTTATAAATGTGTATTGGAACTGAGGTAGAAAGAGGTGTTTTTTGAAGCCAGAAATATTCATGGCCTTGGAGATTATGTACAGTTATACTGGCAGTGTGTAAGAATGCCAGGTTCCCACCTCTTCACCAATGTTGTTCTGAAGAGACCAGGCCTTTTGTCTGCTGGAGGGTTCGATATTCCAATTTGTCTAATGGTATCCCCAGGGTGGAGCTGAACTCGTTTCTCTAGCACCTGCATTTCTTGTAAACTTAAAGGTAGACCTAACAGCCTGAGTAGATTCAGGTTCAATCTTTTGGGAGCAAGTACTTCATAGGCCATGCTGTACACTTCATGTTGTATGGCACCTGGAGTCACATCATGCTACTCTACCCTCTACTCATGATATTTGGTTATGGTGCTGATAGCTAGTCCTTCCATTGGAAGATATGTGTCTTACTTGATAATTAGAAAATAGTTGGTGAGCTGCATTTATTTAATTTTAATGAGATGGGACATATTACATGTTATTCACCAAGACGTTAATTTTCATTGTTGAGGAAGCAAGGTTTTTTATTTGGAGCAGGGCAAGGGGGCATCCCAGCACTCTCCAAGTCACACCAGGCAGATTCCCACTTAGCAGTAAATCCCAGAGGATATTCAGACCAAGAACAACTGGAACAATTCTGTTGCTGAAACCATTTTAAGGGCTAGGTATAGCTGAAAGCTGATATAGCTATATCAGCTTTCAGCTATACCAGGGAGTTCGGCGGATAATTTTAGTTTGTTTACTTTTTAAATAAATAATACATTCGTGTAATCGAAAATTCAAAATATATAAAGGATAAAAAATAGAGTCTCTGTTTCAGTTATCTGTATGTAACAAACCTCTCCAAAACAGTGGCTTAAAACAGTAAAGGTATCTTCATTTAGTAATGAGGCCAGGGATGAATGGGACCAGATAGTTGGTTCTTGTTCAGGTTCTCACACAGTTGCTCTGAGACAGTGGCTGGAGCTGGGCCCATATCAAAGGTGACATCATACATGTTTGTTGGTGGAGCTGGAAAGACTCAAAAAAGCTAGGGGCTAGAGCAGCCAAGGCTCCTCGGACATCTCTCTTCTTTCTCTTCTCTCTGTCCGTCACTACGTGGTTTCTCTGCTGGTGGCCTCCCAGTGGCTGGGCTTTTAACATGGCAGCTGATGACTTCTGGAGTAATTGTTCCAAGGGAAGCCTGCAGACACCACATGCCCTTTTCAAATGCAGCCTCAGGCTTCATGCAGCACAAATTCTATTCCATTCCTTTCACTAGGAGAGAGGCAAAGGCCCAACAGTGTCCAGGAAAAGGATCAGAGCTTCCACCTCCTGTTGGGAGAGTGCCAAGGAATTTGCAACTGTGTTTCAAAACCATAATGTTCCCCTCATAGCCCTTTTCCCCAGCCATCCAGTTCTCTTTTCCCAATGTAACCAATGTCACCAGTTTCTTGTGGACAACTGAAGAGATGCTTTCTATGTGTGATAGACATACATATTTTTTACTCAGTGTAAACAGTGTCTCATACCTTGATTTTTTTCTTGACATTTATTGAGCTCCTACTATGTCCAGGTGCCTTTATATACTTGATCTCTTTAGTCCCCAGAGAGGTTTGCTAACTTTCCACCTTAGTGACTGTATGAGATTCTTAGAGCTGCTGTAATAAATTGCAGGTGGCCTAGAACAACAGAAGTTTATTATCTCACAGTTCTGGAGGCCCGAAGTCCGAAATCAAGATGTTGGCAGGGTTGGTTCCTTCTGGAGGCTTTGTGGGAGAATCCATTCCACGCCTGTCTGCCAACTTCCAGTGGCTGCCCACAGTTCTTGACATTCCTTGACAAGCAGCCACATCACACCAATCTCTGCTTACATCTTCACATGGACCTCCCCTCTGTGCATGTCTCTATCTTCTTTTCTGTTATAGGGACACTCTTCATTGAATTTAAGGCCCACACTAAATCCAACACGACTTTATCTTGAGATCTTTAATTTAATTACATCTGCAAAGACTCAATTTCCAAATAAAGTCACATTCACAGGTATCAGGGGTTAGGAACTGAACATATCTTTTGGAGACCACTGTTTAACCTGCTACAGTGACCAAGTGAAGAACTACATCTGGGTTCTTTCTGATTCCAAGTCCAGTGCTCTTTGGACTCGACCATGTTCTCTCCCTCTGTGAAAAAAATTTGCCAGTGTTAAGAATTCTCTTCTTCCTCAGGTGCACCATTTATTCCTAGGTTTGGTCATTTAACATAATCCCAGACTTCTTGGAGGCTTTGTTCATGTTTTCTTCTTCTTTTTTCTTTGTCTTTGTTGGATTGGGTTAATTCAAAGACCTTGTCTTTGAGCTCTGAATTTCTTTCTTCTACTTGTTCAATTCTATTGCTGAGACGTCCCAAAGCATTTCACATTTCTAAAAGTGTGTCCAAAGTTTCCTGAGTTTTTGTTTTTTCTTTAAGCTATCTATGTCCATGAATATTTCTCTCCCCCCACTTCTTGTATCATGTTTTGGATTTTCTTACATTGGGTTTCACCTTTCTCTGGTCCCTCCCTGATTAGTTTAATAACTAACCTGTGAATACTTTGTCAGGTAAATCAAGGGATTTCTTCTTGGCTTGGATTCATTGCTGGTGAACTGGTGTGATTTGAGGGGGTACTGAAGAGCTTTATTTTGTTATATTACCAGGGTTGGTTTTCTGCTTCCTTCCTATTTGGGTAGGCTCTGTCAGAGGGAAGGTCTAAGTCTGAAGGCTGTTGTTCAGATACTTTTGTCCCAAGGGGGTGTTCCCTTGATGTATACTCTCCCTCTTTTCCTATGGGTGTGACTTCCTGTGAGCTGACCTATAGAGATTGCTGTCTCTCTTCTGGGTCTAGCCACCCAGAAGAGAGTCTATTTGGCTCTGGGCTGGTACTGGGGGTTGTCTGTACAGAGTCCTGTGTTGTGAACCATCTATGAGTCTCTCGGTCATGGATACCAGCCCCTGTGCTGGTGGAGGTGGTGGAGGGTCCAGTGGACACCGTGAGGGTCCTTAGCTTTGGTGGTTTAATGCTCTATTTTTGTGCTGGTTGGCCTCCTGACAGAAGGTGGTGCTTTACAGAAAGCATCAGTTGTAGTAGTGTGGAGAGGGACTTGCACGGGAGCAGGGCTCTAGAACTCCCCGGATTATATGCCCTTTATTTTCCACTACGAGGGTGGGTAGAGAAGGACCATCAGGAGGGGGTGGGGCTAGGCATATCTGATCTCCTTAGGTGGTTCTTGCTGTGGGGAATGACATGAGATTCCCAAGTCACTGGGGTTGTGTACTGAGGATTATGGCTGCTTCTGCTGACTCATGAAGGTTATCAGGGAAGTGGGGGAAAGCTGGCAGTCACAGGCCTCATTCAGCTCCCACACAAACCAAAGGGCTGGTCTCACTCCCACCTTACACCCTGCAACAGCCCCAAGTCTGTTTCCAGGTGGAGGGCAATGGGCTTGAAAAGTTGCCGGAGGCTGTCTACCTCCCAGCTTTGAAAGAAAAGGACTTGGTTCCCCACCCCCTCATCCCCACCCCGCCGCCCGCCTGTGGAGTCTGCATACTCAATTCATACCTTCCCCCAAGTTTTTTTTTGCCAGTGTTAAGGACCACATCGTTGTTTCTCATTATTATTCTAGGATTATATGGTTTTTGTGCTTCTAATTTATACCAGGAAGTACCTTGTGCACCTGGAAGAAATTACTGAATTCTACTAAATTTTTCATTTGCTTATAAGGGCATCCCTTGCCCAGATAATTTTCAAATGCTACTTGGGCTGTGCTCTTGGGAGTTGTTAAATCATCCAAGCTTATAGCAAAAATAAGTTGGCTAATATTTATTGAATGTTTATTATGTGTTAGGCCTGTGCTAAGTGCTTTACATACATTATCTCACTTCATCCTAGGAGATTGTGACTGTCACTCTCTCTCATTGACAGAAGAAACTGAGGTTCAGGGAAGTTAAGGAACTGCTAAATGGTGCAGCTGAGATTCGAACTCAGGCAGTCTGAAATCAAACCTCACACTCTTGAAGCTATAGTAACTTTACATCCTGTCAGCACCCCTCCCACCAGGCTGGCCTAGAGCCAGTCAAGCTTAATGGACAAAGACTTGTTCATGAGAATTAATCATGTAGTTTTCAGAGGAACAGACGGGGCATTCATATGTCTCTTTGTTTTCTCTCATTTCATTTTTGAAGTGACACCATTGAAACATATTTGGAACTCTTGAATGAAAACACTTGAAACTTAAGCTTACTTTTTAGGAAAAACTAAAATCAGGATATTTCCTTTCTGTCATTACCATTCCAGTCCCTTTGGTCTGGAGTTTCCCTAAGCATTTATTACTCAGAGCGTTACTTTGAATTTGTCAGCACATTACAATACAGTTATGCTCAAGAAATACAGCATTTTTCCCCCACCACAAAGGCTGAATTTGTTTAGGTTTGTCATCAATGTAAAACAAATTTCCCTTCAACAGGGTAATATAATAAAAAGCCACATAACTACAAAAGAAGACAGTAAGTTAGACCTAGTCAGCACTATAATTCTTTCTTTCTAATTAATATTTCCAAAGTATCTGTAACTGAAACAAGAAAGATAAATCACTAAAATGACCCCAAAGTCTAAACAAAAGCTTATTGCCTTAGAATATATTCATTTGTTTTTAATGCACATGTCAGATTTTAAAGGATGACTCTAAAAATATTTCAACTACTTATAACATTAACTACATAGCTGCCATTCCGTCATCTTAATTTAAATGCTGAACTAAACTAGAATGGCTTGTTGCCTTCTCTTGCCAGTAATAAAATTTGTTAATGATGGTGTATTTATAGCTTATATGGAAAAGGTTATCATCTTTTGTATATTGCCCTCTTTTAATTAACTTAGGATGCTTGAAAAATAATTGAAGGCTAAAAGTCTTTCAGATAGATTTATTATTTTCCTGTTAAAGTAAAAAGGTCACTTTTATTTAAAGGCTCAAGTTAGCTTGCTTTACCTCCAAAGCAATCTGTAAATCATGCATTTGAGAGGTTCTTAGAAAGATACCCTTGAATTCAAGGTTGCAATTTAGTTGCACTAAGATAAAGAAGATTGGGAAACAAAAATAGGAGTCTGGTGGTCTGGAAGATTGGCCCTCTTGCCCATTTGCTGAGTTACTTCCTCTCCTGAACATCAGATACCAGTAAGTCATCAGGACAAGAGGCAAGAGACACAGGGTGGAGTTGAAATGCAGCTGGGAATCAATGTGTTTGGACTTTTGAAAGCTGTAACATAGAAAACTCTAACAGTTGTATATGAAGTTTTAATTTTATTATTTGGACATTTTGTGTGCATGAATTAGACAGTGGATGATTCTTGCTCAATATATTGTTTTATAGATAGTCTATGTATTTGAAAGGAACAAAATGTCTGCCCTGGCTTTCTGCATACTATGAACTTGCTTGACAGTGGTGAATTTGATGAATTTCCCAATGCCTTGGTGGGGAAGCTATCATTTTCATGGTAGAACAAGGGAAGCTAAAGAGCAGAGAGCTTAAGCAATTTGCTCAAGGTCAGTTGGAGATCAGGGAATATTTGGCTCCAGACTTCCTGTACTAATTATTATTCAATTGTTCTCTCTCTGATTTTTGCCTTTATTAGTAACTGGTTTTATTTTAGGGTTAAAGAAAATAAATCTGAAAACCCTTCAGAAAAGAAAACTAGTTTTTTGTATTTTTATAGTCAATAAGCCCATTCTGCTATTCTTGATTCCAGGTTTTTAAATTTTTATTTTATTTTTTTGAGACAGGGTCTCACTCTGTCACCTAGGCTGGAGTGCAATGGCACGATCTTAGCTCACTGCAACCTCCACCTCCTGGATTCAAGTGATTCTCCTGCCTCAGCCTCCTGAGTAGCTGGGATTATAGGCATGTGCCACCACACCTGGCTAATTTTTGTATTTTTAGTAGAGATAGAGTTTCACCATGTTGACCAGGTTGGTCTGGAACTCCTGACCTCATCTGCCTTGGTCTCCCAAATTGTTCAGATTACAGGTGTGAGCCACTGTGCCCGGCCAATTCTAGGTTTTCAAAATCTTTTTTTATTGCACTGAAATGAGGAGGCTTGAACACAGATGACTGTTATTTTGATGCTCAAATTTTCAATATGTTGTACTGAACATTGGCTGCAAGACTGTCCCTGTGTTATCTAAATTATTTGGGGTTCTAATCCCAACAATTTTCATAACTCTGGTATAAACTGCCCCTTGCTGTTCAGTAGATGTCACACAAAAGATCTAGTAAAAATCATTTTTTATTTTCTATTCTATCTTACTTTCTGGAAAAACACCAAAGTACAGGGGTAATGAAATGAATAATCTGGTCAATTTCCACTTCTTTTTGATTTCCAAAATTATTAATTTTATTTTTATTGTGGTAAAATGTACATAAAATTTACCATTTTGTAGGGATGGGGTTTCACCCTGTTGACCAGGATGGCCTTGATCTCTTGACCTGGTGATCCACCCGCCTCGGCCTCCCAAAGTGCTGGGATTATAGGCGTGAGCCACCGTGCCTGGCCCATTTAAGCCATTTTTAAGTGTACAATTCAGTGACTTTAAGTTCATTCACATTGTTGTACAATCATCATCACTGTATATCTTCACAAATTTTTTATCTTCCCAAACTGAAAATTTGTACCTATTAAACAATAATTCTCCATTCCCTTTAATTCTCAGCCCCTAGTAACTGCTATTCTACTTTGTCTTCATCAGTGTGATGGTGGGTACTTTATACATGTGGAATCATGCAGTACTTGCCCTTTTGCATCTAACTGATTTCATTTAGCATGATGTTTTCAAAATTCATCTGTTTGTAGCATGTATCAGAATTTCATTGCTTTTTGAGGCTGAAAAATATTTCATTTTATATATATACCAGGGTTCTCCAGAAAACAGAACTGATACGATATATATATAGGAAGAGAGTCATTATAAAGAATTGGTTCACACAATTATGAAAGCTGAGAAATCCCACAATCTGCCATTTGCAAGCTGGAGTCAGGAAAGCTAATGGTGAGCCTCAGTCCAAGTCTGAAGACTTGGGACCTAGAGCAGCCAATGGTGTAAATTTCAGTCTGGGTCCGAAGGCCTGAGAATCAGAAACACTGAGTGCAGAAGAAGATGGATGTCTCTTCTCTAGCAATCAGGTAAGTAGGGCCAAATTCTTTTTTTCTCTATATTTCTGTTCTATTCTGGCCCTAAATAAATTGGATGATGCCCACCCACATTGGGGAGGGCAAACTGCTGTCCTAAATTCCCTGATTCAATGCTAATTTCATCTGGAAACACCTACACAGACACACTGGGAAATAATGTTTGGTCAAATATCTGGACATCCTGTGATCAGTCAAGTTGACACATAAAATTAACCATTGCAATACATTTTATTCATCTATTCATCTAGAGATAAACATCTATTGATTCCATCTTCTGACTATTATGAATAAGGTTGCTATGAAAATTGATGGACAAATATCTGTTTGAGTTCTTATGTTAGTCCGTTCTCACACTGCCAGTAAAGACATACCTGAGACTGGGTAATTTATAGAGGAAAAAAGGTTTAATTGACTCATACCTCAGCATGGCTGGGGAAGCCTCGGGAAACTTACAATCATTGCAGAAAGGTAAGCAAACATGTCCTTCCCATGGTGGCAGCAAGGAGAAGTGCCTAGCAAAAGGGGGAAAGGCCCCATATAAAATCGTCAGATCTCATGAGAACTCACTCATGATCATGAGAACAGCATGAGGGTAACTTCCCCCATGATTGAATTACCTCCCACCAGGTGGCTCCCATGACATGTGGAGATTATGGGAAGTATAATTTACGATGAGATTTTGGTAGGGACACACCCAAACCATATCATTCTGCCCCTGGCCCTTCCCAAATCTCATGTCCTTACTTATCAAAACACAGTGATGCCCTTCCAACAATTCCCCAAAGTCTTAACTCATTCTAGCATTGTGGACTCAAAAGTCCAAATCCAAAGTCTCATCTGAGACAAGGCAAGTCCCTTCCACCTATGAGCCTGTAAAATGAAAAGCAAGTTAGTTACCTCCTAGATAAAATATGGGTACAGGCATTGGGTATTCCAAACGAGAGAAATTGGTCAAAACAGAGGGGTTACAGGCCTCATGCAAGTCCAAAATCCAATAGAGCAGTCATTAAACCTTAAAGTTCCAAAATGATCTTCTTTAACTTCATGTCTTATGTGCAGGACACCCTGATGAAAGAGGTGAGCTCCCATGGCCTTGGGCAGCTCCATCCCTGTGGCTTTGCAGAGTACAGCCCCCTTTCTGGCTGCTTTCATGGCTGGCATTGAGTGTCTGTGGCTTTTCCAGGTGCACAGTGCAAGCTGTCAGTAAATCTACCATTCTGGGGTCTGGAGGACAGTGACTCTCTTCTCACAACTCCACTGTGCAGTGCCCCAGTGGGAATTCTGTGTAGGGGCTCTAACCCCACATTTCCCTTCCACACTGTCCTAGCAAAGATTCTTCATGAGGACTTCACCCCTATAACAAACTTCTGCTTGGACATCCCAGAATTTTCATACATCCTCTGAAATCTAGGCAGAGGTTCCCAAACCTCAATTCTGCATATCTGCAGGACCAACACCACATGGAAGCTGCCAAGGCTTAGGGCTTGTGCCTTCTGAAGCAACAGCCTGAGCTGCACATTGGCCCCTTTTAGCCACACATAGGATGCAGGGGACCAAGTTCTGAGGCCACACAGAGCAGCAGCAGGGCACTGGGCCTAGCTCACGAAACCATGTTGCCCTCCTAGGCTCCCAGCCTGTGATGGTTGGGGCTTCTGTGAAGGTCTCCAATATACCCTGGAGACATTTTCCTCATTGACTTGATGATTAATATTTGGCTCCTTATTACTTATGCAAATTTCTGCAGCCAGCCTGAATTTCTTCCCAGGAAAATGGGGATTTTTTTTCTGCCGCATTGTCAAGCTACAAATTTTCCAAACTTTTATGCTCTACTTCCCCTTGAATGCTTCGCCACTTAGACATTTCTCTCTCCAAATGCCCTAAATCATCCCTCTCAAGTTCAAAGTTCCACATATTTCTAGGACGGGGCAAAATGCCACCAGTCTCTTTGCATAGCAAGAGTGACCTTTACTCTAGTTTCCAACAAGTTTCTCATCTCCATCTGAGACCACCTCACCCTGGACTTCATTGTTCATGTCACTATCAGCATTTTTGCCAAAGCCATTCAACAAGTCTCTGGGAAGTTCCAAACTTTCTTACATCTTCTGTCTTCGAGGCCCTCCAAGTCTCTAAGAAGTTCCAAACTTTCCCACATTTTCCTGTCTTCTGAGCCCTCCAAATGGTTTCAAAGGGTCTGTTACCACATTCCAAAGTTACTTCTACATGTTGGGTATCTTTACAGTGCCCCACCCTCTGCAGTACCAGTTTACTATATTAGTCCATTCTCATGCTGCTAATAAAAATATACCTGAGACTGTGGGTAGTTGATAAAGGAAAGAAGTTTCATTGACTCACAGTTCAGCATGACTGGGGAAGACTCAGGAAACTTACACTCAAGGTAGAAGGGGAACCAAACATGTTCTTCTTCTCATGATGGCAGCAAGGAGACTTGTTGAGCAAAAGGTGGAAAATCTCCTTATAAAACCATCAGATCTCAAGAGAACTCACTCACAATTATGAGAACAGCATGAAGGTAACCACCCTCATGATTAAATTACCTCCCATCAGGTCTCTGTCATGACATGTGGGGATTATGGGAGCTATAATCCAAGATGAAATTTTGGTGAGGATACAGCCAAACCATATCAGTCCTTGTTTTCAATATATCTAGAAGTTAAACTGCTGGATCATATGGTAATTCTATGTTTAAATTTTGAGGAACAGCCATACTGTTTTCCACTGCATCTGCACCATTTTACATTCTCACTAGCAATACACAAAACTCCAATTTCTCCACATTCTCATCAACATTTTTGTCTTCTTGATAATCATTATCCTAATGGGTACAAAATGTTAATCAGTTATATTTTAAGTGATACCCATAATAGGCTTGTGTCACATTGTCTTCTGAAGAACTTTTCTAAGTATGGGAAACTTCTATGTTATAAGTTCTGCCCTTGCAATACAAAACTCAGAGTTCGAATTGCCAGCTTCCCTTTCAGCTAGAATAAAATCATGTGGCCTGGATTCTACTAATCAGATGCAACCATGTGAGATTTAAATTCCCAAGTAAAAAACAAAAGATATAAGCTATTTTGACTGTTCATTTTGTAGAATTGTGTGGTGACAATGGAGTCTGACTTTTGGGGACATTAACAATTGCAGTAGGTCCAGTGCAGTCAGGGATCTAGGGTGACAATGGCGTTTGTTTATCAAGCCACACACACACACACACACACACACACACACACACAGAGAGAGAGAGAGAGAGAGAGAGAGAGAGAAATGGCTTGATAAACAAACTAGGTTGTTTGATAAAACAGTTAGGTTGCTTCTAAATTTTAGCTATTGTGAACAGTTCTGCAATAAACATAGGAATGCAGATATCTCTTCAATGTACTGATTTCTTTTGGGTATATACCCAGCAGTGGGATTGCTGGATCATATGGTAGCTCAATTTTTAGTTTTTTTCAGGAAACTCCAAACTGTTTTCCATAGTAGTTGTACTAATTTACATTCCCTTCAACAATATATAAGGGTTCCCTTTTCTCCACATCCTCAACAGCATTTGCTATTGGCCTGTCTTTTGGATAAAAGCCATTTTAACTGGGACGAAATCTCTCATTGTAGTTTTGATTTGGATTTCTGCAATGATCAATGATGTTAAAAACATTTTCATATGCCTGTTTGCCATTTATAGTATCTTCTTTTAAGAACTATCTAGTCAAATATCTTGCCCACTTTTTGATGGGATTATTAGACTCTTCTATAGAGTTCAAGCTCCTTGTGTATTCTGGTTATTAATCCCTTGTCTGATGGATAGTTAGCAAATATTTTCTCCCATTTTGTGGTTTGTCTCTTCACTTTGTTGATTGCTTCCTTGCAGAAGCTTTTTAACTTGATGTGATCCCATTTATCTATTTTTGCTTTGGTTGCCTATACTTGTGGGGTGTGGCTCAATAAATTTTTGCCCAGAACAATGTCCTGGAGATTTTACCCAATGTTTTCTTGTAGTAGTTTCATAGTTTGATGTCTTAGATTTAAGTCTTTGACGTCTTTAAGTTTCATAGTTTGAGATCATAGATTTAAGTCTTTAATCCATTTTGATTTGATTTTTGTATATGGTGAGAGATAGGGGTCTAGTTTCATTCATCTGCATATGGATATCCAGTTTCCCCAGCACCATTTGTTGAAGACAGTGTCTTTTCCCCAGTGTATGTTCTTGGCACATTTGTCAAAAATGATTTTACTGTAGGTGTTTAGGACATTTGTTGAAAATGAGTTCACTGTAAGTGTATGGATTTGTTTCTGGGTTCTGTATTGGTTTATGTGTGTTTTTTATGTAAATATTATACTATTTTGGTTACTACAGGTCTGTAGTATAATTTGAAGTCAGGTAATATAATTCCTCTGGTTTTGCACTTTCTGCTTAGGATAGCTTTGGGTATTCTGGGTCTTTTGTGGTTCCATATGAACTTTAGGATTTTTTAAATATTTCCGTAAAGAATGTCATTGGTATTTTGATAGGGATTTTATTGAATCTGATACTGGTTTGAGCCCTCATGCTTTTAATATAGTAATAGTCTAATTTTGCTTAGATCAAGATCAATGTTTATATTATTCTGAGTATAACTGGCTTTTGATTGTGACTTACTTTTGGTCTTAGAAAGCTTTTAAGATCTTGTCCTGATTGTTCTGATATTTCACAATTATATGCCTTGCTATGAATCTATTTTCATCCATTGTTCATCCATTGTTCCTTTCAGTCTGTAAATTCATGTATTTGAATTCAGAAAAATTCCTTAAATTATTTCTAATTTTTTTTCTCATTCACCTTATTCTCTTCTTAAATCCTCATTATGCAGATATTGGCCTTCCTCCACTGTATATATAATATTTTATAAAATACAATGTTTTATATTTTCTATATAAAAACAAATAAATATACATTTGTATAATATACCTTTTCCTTTTATTTTTCTCCTGTTAGATTTTTGCTCTACTTTCTGAGAGGCTGATTCAACATCAACTTCCAATCTTTCTATTGAATGTTTGGGTTCTACTTTCAGGATTTTCTTTTCTTTCTTCATTTCCTTGTTTCTTCATTTCTTTCTTTCTCTCTCTCCCCTCCCCACCTTCTTTTTCTTTTCCTTTCCTTTCCCTCCCTTCCTTCCTTTCTTTCCTTCTTCCTTCATTTTTTTAGACAGGTCTTACTCTGTCACGCAGGCTAGAGTTCAGAGGCACGATCTTGGCTCACTACAACCTCCACCTCCCAGGCTCAAGTGATCCTCCTGCCTCAGCCTCCTGAGTAGCAGGGACTACAGGTGTACACTGCTATGCCCAGCTAATTTTTGTGTTTTTAGTAGAGATGGGTTTCACTATGTTGGCCAGGCTGGTCTCAAACTCCTGGCCTTAAGCAGTTTGCCTGCCTTGGCCTCCAAAATGCTGGAATTACAGGTATGAGCCACTGTGCCTGGCCTCAGGTTTCTAATTTCTAAGAGCTTTTTTATGTTCTCTGAATGTTATTTTTTAAACAGCATTCTGACCTTGTTCCTCAGATTCAGTATCAGCTTCTCGCTTTGAAGATATTTATAATAGTTTTATTTTGAAGTTTTCTCTTCCCCTCATAGTTTAATTTCCCTCCGAGTCATTTTTCTCTGCTTGTGGTTTGTTTGCCTTATCTTTATCTTGTAAGTTAGAGGCATTCTTCATCTGTATGGTAATACTTAGGTGTCTGCTCTTGTTTACTTGTGGGTGAGTAAAAAGCAGATGGAAGATCTGAGTGAGTTTTATGGGAGGGTGATCTGGCTGGGTGATTTGTTGGGGGTAACCTTAATATTGGTATGTGTAAGTTTTTCCTTTTGGGCTGGTCAAATCTCCCAGAGATGACTCTTGCATTTTTCCAAATCACTGTGGAAGCTGAGCAGGTAAACAGGACTTAGAGAAGGGGTCTTGGCCTTCGGTGTCTACATATTCATTTATTCCCTCTGGCTTCAGTGTGGGATTCCTGCTCTTGACTAGGTCTGTGTCCTCCAAGTACAGGGTATCTCTGTTATATGTTCTCTAGAGAGTAAATATCCTTTGGCTAGGATGGGGAAGAGAACTCATCCAAGTATGTGGGGTGTTGAGGGAATTTAGAAAGCTGGTGATTCTCAAACAACTTTTCTAATCCTCCTTATTTTAAGCCACCCTCTTTATTCCATTTCCAGTGTTACCTGGTGTTACCAATTCCTGAAATTTAGATGATGTTAGGGAAAAAAAAAAAAAAAAAAACTAAGCCAGCTTAGAATCTTTCTTTGACCTGCTGGGTTAGTTTATTTATCCATCCATCTTCTTTCTGGCTTCCAGAAGTTTTTGTCTCTTCTCCCACTTTCCATATCCTGAAATGTTCATGCATTTCTAATACTATCTATTCATTATAGTTTTATATGATTCCTGAAAAAGGAAAATTTGGATTGATGGTTCAATCCACCGTCTTTACCCAGAACTTTAATCTAGATGTCTACATCAAACTGAAGTATCCTTTATAACTGATGTTTTCAAAAACAAGGGGAATTGACCTGTCACAAGTCTTTGCTAAAAAAACAAAAAGTTTCTAAAGGATGTAATTTTAAAATAAAGGAATTGAACCTTGAGGGAAGGGGTAGAATATAAGAATAAATAGACTCGGGAACCTGGCAGAGACTCCTGTAGGTACCACCTCTAGGGGAGCTGTTTTCTCTTAGAATAATTCAGTGATATTGCTGGCCCAGTATGGAAACTTAGATGAAGAATGTAACCCCTCACTGCAAGGATTACCATGGCTAGAGTCACAGAAGCCATTGTAGTCCTCTTGCCTTGTTTTAGAGTGAAGCCTACAGGTGAGAGAATCCGTTTCCCCATGTAGCATCCCCATGCCCCACCATGGGAGAAATTCTGAGTGCAGTGGCTTTTTAGATAGCCAGATGTCTCCTTCAAACCTGCTATGGGTGACTGAATAAATCAATCTTCCACATCACAAGAGAATTTTTAAAATGTATGCATAAAATTGTAAAATGGATAACGTAAAAGTAATCTTTTTGGTTTGGGGAGGAGTTATAGGCACTTTCAGCTGTTTATAAAATAAGATGTTCCATTTGAAAGTTCCCTCTCTGTTTCTTTTTTCAGAAGACACTTTTATTAGATACAGACAGACTTGCCCCTTGGGCTATAACCAACTCCCAAGACAATTTCCTTTAGCCTCTAGAAATATAATCTTGTAAGATGCCTCTTCATAGATACCATTCCATTTTGTTTGCTCCTCCTTAAGTATTATCAAATGAATATTTCTATTTTAATCCTAAAATTATTTTCACATTACAATTTTAATGTCCTAGTTTTTGGTATTTATAATAGGATGCATTCAGTAGTTTAAGTGTTTTTTTCTGGCCAGTTGCAGTGGCTCACACCTGTAATCCCAGCACTTTGGGAGGCCGAGGCAGGCAGATCACTTGTCAGGAGTTCAAGACCAGCCTGTCCAACGTGGTGAAGGCCTGTCTCTACTAAAAAATACAAAAATTAGCCAGGCATGATGGCATGTGCCTGTAATCCCAGCTATTTCGGGGGGCTGAGGCATGAGAATCACTTGAACCAGGGAAGTGGAGGTTGCAATGAACCAAGATTGCACCCTTGCACTCCAGCCTGGATGACAGAGTCAAACTCCATCTCAATCAGTGTATCAGTCAATGTTTCTTCTATTCTGATAGAACATCAATGCTACTAATTGTCCAATTTTCATTCCTAGTTTCTGTGCCTTCCACCCTAAGAGGCAGGACACTATAGAAAAGCCTATTTTGATGGACAGACTATGTCATCAATTTCAACTACAAGCCTGGACCTGTGAAAAACTTGACTGGTTAGAAAATTAATATTTGTATAGTACGTGGCATGCCAAGCACTCTTTTGAACACTCTAACAATATAAACTCATTTAGTACTCATAATCTCTGTGCGAAGTAGGTACTATTATGATTTCTATCTTACAGATGAGGAAACCGAGGCCCAGAGAGACCAAATAATGTGCCCTAGGTTCATAGATACTAAGTGGCAGAACTACAATTTGAACCCAAGTGGTCTTGTTCCAGAGGCCATGGTCTCAATGACAAAATCATGCCCCCACTCCTGGTATAACACCGTCTCACTCTCTTTAAACAGCTTTTTTTTTTCTTCTGTTAATAGTGATAGTACTTAATTTTGTTGATGAAAGCGTTAAGGCAGTGTGTTCTTAGTCTCAGCTCAGTAGAATCACCTTCAAGAGTTTTGAGGAAATACCAGTACTTTGCTTCTATCCCAGAAATTATGATTTGGTGAGTGCCAACCTTTGCATTAAAAAGAAACAACTGCCCAGATTGCAGACAGTGCTCATGGACAGCTGGAGCTGCGATTTACTGGATTAGGTCACCAAGGCATCTTGCAATGTCTGGTAGGTAGACATTATCTTCATTATCACCAATTATTTGGGTCTTGGGTACTGGGAAAATTGGAAAGAACAGTGTTATTTGACATCCTTAAATCCCCAGTGTTTTACCTGTTTGTATTTTAGGTTTCCAGATTTAGCAGTAACCCTGTGACTCAGCTTCTCAGTGCAAACGGGTCTTTGCACACCATGCACACACCCCACACCTGTTCAGAGCTGACATTTACTCTCTATCATCCTCCCAGTTGGTGTCCATTCCGTCTCTCAGTTCTGAGGCCTTTGTTGTGAATATCACCCTGTCCCTGTTCAGTTCAATCAAATCACAGTGTGTGGATCTTCACTCTAACAGATGAATAATGTCAGAGAATATGAATCAGAAGCTAAGCTGGGGTTTCATTGCTGTTCTTGGAAATGATTTTGGCTACAGAACACTTTATTCTTCCTGTTTTCATGCCAAAGCACTCAAACTTGTAAAGGAGAAATCATACCACCTGGGTTTAGCCTAAGCTGCTCATGGACCTCCCTAGTCTCTGGAGTCATCACTAGCTAAAATATGTTAAATTCCAGTGTCCTCTGCCTCACTCTTAACCCTGATAGGCAATACAGAGCATTAGCTCCTGGGATCTGGTACGATGTCCTGGGGTGAACCTGTGTGCACACAAACCATCCTGTACCTCTAGCACAGCCATGCTGCTGCCCATTCTCACTGCAGTGAACCCTGAAATGCCAAAGACATGGTTGTCAATAGCAAAGCAGAGCATGGCATGGTTGCTCACCCGCTGTCTTTTTAATACTACCACAGTCCTTATTAATGCAGGTCATAGAGCCATTTGTGGCCCAGTGTTTTGTAGAGATTTAGGGGAACAGATTTTTCTGGCTTTTCCAACAGCCCAGCCTTACTCCTGGTCTCAGATAGGAGACCATGGAGCTGGGCTGGAACAGACTCGGGCGGCAGGATGCAAGCTGTGTCATAGTGTCTTTCCCTCCAACATCCAAGGCCTGGCACTTCCTTCCGGAGGAGGTTCTCTCTCTGTGGCCTCATCTGCCTCTCATGAAAGTGGGCTTTTGAGAGTCTGCCTTTCTCTGGTTTGCCAAATGTGCTGCCCTGACCCCCACAAGCCTGCTTTTACTCCCTGTTAGGTTGCTCCTCTTAAGATTGGCTCTATGTTCCCAGAGCACATCTGTGATTTCATTTTTGTAAATAATATATTCTCCTTGAAATATATATTATTTTATAAATAATAATTTCCCCTGGGTAATTCAGATGTAGTTCTTTTTCTTCTAATCATAGGACTGCAGCTTAGGCTGGTTCTTTGGCCATGTGGACCAGTGAGGATGTGCTATTTCTTAGCCATTCCTTCAACAAGCATCTTTTGAGTAACTACTATTAGCCATGTATGGAGATAGCACAGGAGCAGATCCAAAGATGAAACACACTTGCTCTGCTTTCTACCCTTGAAACTGAGCCTCCATAGCAGAACACAAAGACATAGACAGAGTCGTTGTAATGCAGCATGCTATGGCATGAACGTTTATGTTTGCCCAAATTCATATGCTGGAATTCTCACCCACAAAATGATGGCATTAGAAGGGTCAGGCCTTTGAGAGGTGATTAGGTCAGGGGGGCGGAGCCATCATAAATGGGATTTAGCACACTTATAAAAGAGGCCCAAGAGAGACCCTTGCCCCTTCTACCATGTGAGGATACGGTGAGGAAATCAATTATCTGTGGAGAAGCAGGCCCTTACCCAACACACAGCCATCAGAACTGAGAAATACATTTTGGCTATTGATAAGCCACCCAGTATATGATACTTTGTTATAGCAGCCTGAATAGCTTAGGACACAGGATTATATACTCTGCAGCACAGGCAGACAGACATAGAAGAAGGGCCATTTGAACTGGATCTTGAGAAATGAATGGGAATATATTAGTTTGTAGTAACTAAGTACCACAAACTGGATGGCTTAAACAACAGAAATTTTTATTGTCTAACTATTTTGGAGGCCAGAAGACCAAGATTATTGACACTTGTGTCGGGTGAATCTGTTTGATGGCCCTCTCCAAGCTCCTGGATTTCCTGGCCTCAGCACTGCCTGTGGATAGAGGTAGGAGGCTGGGCATCTGGGAACCGGACCTTTCAAAGTGTCTGCTCAGAGCTTCCCTGTGTTGGGTGGATGGCATCGAGGTTATGAGGGTGTTGGTAGGAGCTAGAGCTGGCTCCCATCCCAGCCCTGTACTTTAGAGCAAGTCACATGAATTCTCTAAGCCTAGTTTCTTCCTCCATGAATTGACCACAAAACCACCTGGCACATCACAGACACTCAACAGAATATGGTAGTATTATCACTGTGACTGGTCAGCTCAGAAAACCTCAATTTAAAAAAAATCAGAAGGTTGCACTGAAGCTGTAATGAAAGCTATCTGATTCCCAGGATCCGGAGTAAGCCGATGAAGAAAAGATTAATGTTAGAGAGCGAGCATCCATTTAAGTGTCTATTTCTTTTAAAATGCTCACTCTAGAAGACGTACCTACTTTATGGTTTCAGTCGTTGGTGTGTGGCAATTTGAACAGTGGGTTATATATTTTGTAATAAAAGGAGATTTGTAAGGACTGACTGCCCCTTGGGCCTCAGTGCATCATGGGAGATGATTCAGTTCTGTAGCAGGCACATGACTTCTCTTTGGGAGTGAAAGGCCAACAGTGCTGGACAGTAACCAAGGACCATCTCTGGCCTCAGGCAGAGTCTTCAGATACCTCCTGCTGGAATGCAACAATGGAGGTCACTGGCAGGACAAGCCCAGAGCCTGAATGATTTTTACCAACTTGTTTTAGCCTGATTGTGTGTAATGAGTGGGTGTCTGTTGGGTGTATGCAGAGAGAGAGATGGCATGGAAGCAACACAGATCACTGACTGTAGAATTGCATATTTGGTCTTTTCCTGCTTCTGAATAAAATTAGAATAAAGTCTGTAAAATTCACATGAATTTTAAACATGTAGATATGTTTAAAAGTTTACTGGAAAACACAAAAATTTATATCAATGGACCAAGATAAATATATCAATCTTTATAAATCAATGAATACATTTAATGTAATTCCAATAAATATGTCAAAGGTTTTCTTAATAACACACAGTGTAGATTGACAGATAAAGAGGTGAACCCATACAAAGTGCATCAGACAGTGAGAGAAAGAGAGGCAGAAACATGCAAAGACAAAAAGCCAGAGACAATGACTTAGCATAGATTAGAGATCCAGGTATGAAGAAAAACAGATTATACATATGAGATATGTGAGAATATAACAAGGTATAACTACAATTGATATTACTAATTTTATTATTTACTTACATCTGTGTAAGACCTAGAATATACAAAGTCCTTTCCATGTTTCCAAATACTGGCCAACTAGGAGGTGAGCTAATTAATGGCTTCTCATCCCATCCCTGCCACTTAGAGACATGCAGCTCTGGTTAAAAGTCGCCTAGATCTTTTCTGTCTCCATTTTCTATACTGTAGAATGGAAGTCCTCCTGTGTGCCCGACTACCTCCTCTGGATGAGTGAGCAGTGAGGCACTCACTCTCTGTCTCCATGGTTCTATCATAGTGCTGCAAATTTCAGCTCAATAATTGAATTTAACATCCCAACAGATTTTGTTCTACCCCACAGAGATTTAAGTATATGGTTTTAATTTCTTGCTGGCACCTGAAAATCAGGAGCTATTAAATACATATCTGAATATGGGCTCCTTTGGAAACATGAGCAAATGGGTTAGAGATGGTTTCTGCAATGCCCTTTCATTGGGCTTGCTCACTCAACTACAATCTCCATCCCTCCCTATTGCTTCCCTGTTACCAGATCACTACATTCATTTCTGTTACTTTCCTGGCCCCTAGACTTTTAATATTTGCAGCCTTTGTTCTATCATATCCACATATTTTATTGACAATTTTATCCGATGGGTCAGTCTCCTGTCTCAGCAGCACAGGATGTGTCTTCTTGACCCCTGGATTTCCAGCCCCTAGCATAGTGCCTGGCTCACAGTAGGTGCTCAGGAAATGTTTACTGAGCTTATCATAGTGTCACACTGCATGAGAGTAACAAGGAGAGAGATCAAACAGAAGGGAAAGTGGGCAGTGAAGACAGCCTATGAGATCGGCCTAACCTCTGTAGTACAGGCAAGGGTGCAATCATAAACGCTGACTTTCTTACTTTCTTCCTACAGATTTGCTCACTCCCTCCAATGCCTCACCTGGCTATGTGGGAAGACACTAGAGAGAGAGGAGCAGCAATGCTTCATCTTCCATACTTTTACCCAGAAAGTTAGAAGCAACAACTTGGTGATTTCCAGGCTAGAAGTGGTGCAATGAGGAGCAGAGACCCTGGTAAAGGGTACCTGGAGGGAGCCAGAAGCAGACTGGCAAAGAGCAGAGAGAATGGGCAGGCTCTGGGAGAGGTGAGCATCATGCAGGAACCGACACAGAGAGCAGGGTGTGGTGCTTGTATGTGGTGTAGGCAGCCCTCATTAGGAGAGACATGACTGTGTAAGGAGGAAGCATTTAGGGGCAGCGTAGTGGGATAGCCAGGAGAGGTGGGCATCTGGGATCAAATCCTTGATACATGCTGGCTGGATGAGTGACTTTGAGCAGGTTAATTGACCCCCTTTGGTCCTGTTTCCTAGTCTGTAAAATGGGGACAATAATGATATTCACCTCATTGGGATATTGCATGAATTAAATGAGATAATGCATGTTAAGTGCCTGACATGTGTTTACTTAATGCACTCTATTAGTTTTCTACAGTTGCCAGAACAAATTACCACAAACTGGGTGGCTTAAAAGAACAGAAAGCTATTCTCTCAGTTTCAGAGGCTGGAAGTCCAAAATCAAGGTGTCTGCAGAGTACAGTCTTCTGGGTCTCCAGGGGGAAATTTGTTATCATTCTTTTGCTTGGGGCTGCCTCACTCTACTCTCTCTCTGTATTCACATGACCATCTCTTACATGTGTCTGTAACTTTTCTTCTGACTCTTATAAGGACACTTGCCATTGATTTAGGGTCCAGCTGGTAATGCAGGATGATCTCATCCTAAGATCCCTAACTTAATTAAATTAGCATAGTCCCTTTTTCCAAATGAGGTCACATTCACAGGTTCTGGAACACAGAGGTATCTTTTGAGCCACCATTCAACCTATTACAATACCTAAGTACTGAGTGCTTTCTGTAAGCCAGAACTTATATGCATTATTTGATTTGTTGCTTAAGCTAAATCTTGGAGAATAGAGTTCTGGGTTCCTTGCAGCCTAATCCAGTTTCCCAAGTAATAAGAGAGTACCAGGTGGGTACCATGTGGGTGCTATGATTAGTGACCACAGGAAGTAGGTTCACATAATTTCTAGATTCTCTGGATTCCTCCCTCAGTCCTTTTCCCTGCACCTTGACTTAGGCCACATACAGTATCTTTTCCTTTCTCTGCAAAACTTCTGTAGTACGCCTTGTTGTGCTGTCCAGATCCCCCTTCAAGAAAGGACTTTTGGTCCCAGTGGCTGGGAGTATTGTCATAAGCCTTCAACTTCTGATCCTCCCCAGTGCAGAGTTGCCTCACTGGAGATCACTTCTGTCTCAAGGTAGGCTACATCCAGTGACAGATGGAGACAGCAGTACAAAGGCCCTTTTATTTCAGCCTCACATGAGACAAGTTGGATAGGGCATTTTAACTCATAGGGAGAAAGCAGCTTTGTGGGATATGCATTGCAACTTCAATTCTCCCTCTACCCATTCCTCCTTCCTCTCCATATCCTCTCCAGGATATGCATTGCAACTTCCTCTCTGTCTGTCTATTCTCCTTCCATGGCACTGATCCCAAGATATTCCTGATTAAACACTCTGCACATTAAACTCCAAATTAGAGTCTGCTGCTCAGAAATTCTAACTTATGCCAATGTCTAAGGATTATATATTCTTGGGATCACACAATTATATGCAAAATAGAAAATTCACTGAGTTTGTAGTTACATATAATGATTCTGTTCCCATAGGTGGCAATACTTTAAACAATGTCACCTTAAGGTTGTAAATCATATTTTAAATTTTGTTCCCATAGGTGGCAATACTTTAAACAATGTCACCTTAAGGTTGTAAATCATATTTTAAATTTTGGGGGTAATCTCTTTAGGGCTTTGAAGTTTTTCATGTTCCTATGGAACTTCAAAGAACAAACAACATGAATCTAAGACAATTCTAAAACTCTGAAATACTCCATAAGTACCTGGAAAAAGGAGCACCAGTTTGTTGCTGAAAACTCGTTTGGGTGAAAATAGTGTTTGAGGTTTCAACTGGATGTGTAACTGTCTTTGAATTTTTAGTTAAATAATGTGATGAAATTCATCAGATATTTAGCACCATCTGTGATCAAGGAGTCAAACAATATAACACACAAGGGAGAAAGTGTCCTGTACTGGATGAAAAAATAGGCTTTGGGAATAAAGCAGATCTGGGTTGGACTATTGTCTCTACTGCCCAGGGTCACGGAACTCTGCACCTCAGCTTCCCCATCTATTAAATGGGGATAATAAACATATCCTCTAGAGATTTTGTGAAGCTTAAATGAGATGATCTACATAAAACATTTATAATAATAAATGCAACAAATGCTATTATCTACTACCTGAGGCAAAATATAAATTTTAAAAATATGTACCAAATACCATACACTAATAAAATTTAGGTCATTTGAATCACTGTTTACAGAAAATGCATGAAAATTTGTTCTAACCTTTAAAAAAAGGATTCCAGACTATTTTCCTTTTTGGGGAAAAGATTATTAAATTTTCTGATACTCAAAGTGACCTGTGAGTGAAGACCTCATTAGGCAGTGAGTTGTGTGGCTCTTTGTGGAAGACCATTTTGAGCGGAAGGAACAGCCAGTGCAAAATTCTGAATGGATAGCTGGACTGTGTTTGAGGACCAGCCAAGAGGTCCACGTGGCTAGAGAGGAGTAAGCAGGATGGTTGAAGTCAGAGAAGTAAGAGGGTGGAGCAGGTCTTATAGGACCTAGTTGGTCATTGTGAAGACTTTGGACTTTGCTAAATGACTTTGGAACTTGTTGGGTCTTGAGCCAAGGAACCAACGTGGCCCAATTTCTGTATTAAAAGGATAACCCTGACTAGTGTGTTAAGAATGGAGTAGGGGCAAGCAAGGCACAAAATGAAGGAAGACTGTGGTCAGGAGGGCACTGCAGTATCCCAGGCTGATGGTGAGGGCAATGTGCACCAACCAAGGCATCACCACCATGGGTACGGAGCATGGTCGGCATCTACTGTGTTTTGAATTCTGAACTGATAGAAATTGGCAATGTCTGAAAAGAACAGATAAGCTGAGGATGCCTCCACGTTTTCTCTCCTGAGCAACTGGAGGAAAGTAGTTCTTTTAACTGAGATGGGGAAGATGCAGGGGAAGGGCAGGTTTGGGAAGAAATATGCAGCCTTCATGTTGGAACCTGTTAAGTATGAAATAGCTCTGAAGCATCCCTTGAAAATGTTGAGGTGGCAATGAGATTGAAGAGTCTGGCGTTCGTGAGCTGTCTGGACTAGAAATAGAAATGCAGGAGTTATCGGGCTATCGTTGGTATTTAAAACTATGAGAGTGGAGGAAAGCATTGAGGGGCTGAATAGAGAAAGAAATAGGAGATGACAGGGAGAACTTGGAGGCACTCTTATCTTAAGGGGTTGCAGAGATAACAGCAAAAAGGCCGAGAAGAAGCTGCCAATGAAAGACCAGGAAAACCAGCATTCTGGAAGCCAGGTGAAGGCATGGGAGCAGGTAGAACTGATGTCTCAACAGGAGTTAGTTAGGCTAATGGTCCTCAAAGTGTTGTCCCAAACCAGCTGCAGCTGCAGCAGCAGCCGCCTCTGGAAACTTATCACCACCACAGGTGCAGCCTCTTAGGCCCACTCCAGAACTACAGGATCAGAAATGGAAGGTGAGGCCCTTCAGCAGATTCTGATGCACCCTCAGGTTTTAAAACCCCTGCCCTCCTCACAAAATTATAAAGGGGAGAAAGGAGGAGGAGGAGATGGAAGAGGATGGGAGGAAGAACTCTTTAGAGGAAGAGAATATTGGAGACCCACTTAGTGTCCAAAGCAAACAGGTTCCTCAGAAGTAACCCCCTCCCCCAACAACCCCCCTCCCAGTTAAAGGCTCCCACTAATCAATCTATCATGGCTCTTTGGAGACAAGGAATGCCCCCATTTCATCGGAAGGAGGGAATGCTGAGCACCAGGCATGCCAGACATTCCACCGGCAAAAAAGTGGGGGTGGTATTCCAGGGTTAGCACTGCTGGACCGTAAACGCTGAAACTCCTTAGATATGAAGCTTATTCCACCCAACCGTTTCCAAATTTTCCTCCAGGCTGTCCTAGGAGAATTCCACCCTCTTTAATTCTGGGGAGAAGTTAAAATTAGGGCCAGCCCTGCGGGACTGACATGCCAGATGCAGGGAAGCTGTCCCCAGAAATAAGCTAGTTCCCACCGCGGCTGGGCGGGGCGCGCGCCTCCGGTCCCAACCCAGCGGAGGGACTCCTGGAAGGCCTGCCCCTTCCAAGTGTCTGCAAGGGCTCTGGTCCCAAGCTTTAAAATCCTGAGAGAAGGCACTGCAGGCCGACCTCTCCTCTCCCAGCCAGTCGTGGCTGGCCTTTCAAAGTGTGCAGCTGTCTCCTGCCTGCCCAGCCGCATCGTCGCCCAGGACCAGCTGGGCCGCGGTCTGACCCGAGGTTGCTGCTCAGCGCCACGGTGCTGGCGCTCTCCATTCTGGCACCTTCCAGCATACCGCTCGGCTCTAAAAGCCGCTCTGCAAAGTTGGGCAGCTCAGAGCGCAAGCTTTGCCTCTCGACTTCTCGGTCCCCGGGTCCCCGGCGACCCTGGCGACCCTGCTTCCCACGATCCCTTTCACTAGGAGCAGCCTGTCCCAGCGGGCTGGCAGCGTGCACCCCTTTCCGGTCCTCCTCCCTGAATCGCGACCATGCTGTTAAGGGGCGTCCTCCTGGCGTTGCAAGGTAAGGCCTGGACCCCGGGATAACCCCTGGGGCGCTCTGACGCCGCGTCCCCGCTCCTGCTGTCCCGGGTGGCCCGGCTCACCGTGCTGGGCTGGGCTATCCGAGGGTGCCTCCCGATCCTCCGCAGCTGCTAACTCCCTCCCCTGGCCAAGCCTGGGGTGGGGTGGGCCTGGGGTCTCTCAGTGGATGCTGGGGGACAGGTACTGCATCTTCTCCCGCCCCCTCCCGCTCCTGGTTCCCCTGCTCTCACCAGATAGTCTCCCTGGGCGCCCCAAGTTGGTGCAAACGCTCCTGAGGGGAGCTCGAACTGAAACTCGCTTTGTGTCCTCAGCCCTGCAGCTCGCTGGTGCCCTCGACCTGCCCGCTGGGTCCTGTGCCTTTGAAGAGAGCACTTGCGGCTTTGACTCCGTGTTGGCCTTTCTGCCGTGGATTTTAAATGAGGAAGGTAAGGGGGCTCGGTGGAGAGGGGCGCGAGGTGAACTTTCTTCCTTGATTTGGCTTTTTTCCCCCCCACATGGGTAGTGTTATCTTGGCGTTAATTCCCTTCGGCAAGAAAAGTGTGAGTCATAGATCCTCCTTAAAGCCCTCAGCTGTGCTGCAAGGGATGGCCTAGGCAAACACGGGGGCAGGCGGGAGGCCGCCCTTTGTTTACCTGGCCTGTGGGTAGAAGCTTAAAATTTGCGTCTCACCGCAGCACTCCTTAATAGAGGGGGGAATCAGAGCAGAGCTCGTTATTGTCCCCTACCAGCTGTGTGCCCTCTGCAGGCCAGCAACCTTTCTGGTCCTCAAGAGACATGTCTGTGAGTTGGGAAAAGTTGGATGGGATTAATTCTTCAGCTTTGCAGAAATGGTTCCAGAATTCTGTGATAGGACCTTAGTGCTAAGACATCACGTCTGCCTTGTGCCCGACAGTATTTTTTGCTGCATGATTTCATCCTCACACTCCTGTTTATAATCCTCCCCTGGACAAAAGAAACCATGTCCACTGCCAAATGCCTGGGGTCCCTCAGCTGGTGGGCGGTGGTCATTGTCTCACTACTCTATACTGTTTGGGTCCCAGGGACAGAGTTTAAATGTGGGGTCTTCTGAAGTGTCTTCTTGCCTTCATTCATATATATATAAAGAGTGGTTCTCAGTACCCAGTGGCAGGCTGTACTGGGTGTCCCTTCTCCTTTCCTTTCTCTTCTGTCACCACCAATGAAGCTTAATGCCCATAGACTGTTTGGATTGGAAAATAGCCTTCTTTAAAAAGCATGCACCCTAGATTAAACCAGCTTACCTCCTTCCCCACTCAGTTGTCTTCAGGCACCAGATCCACCTGGCTCCCTGGGAGGAGAATGGAGCCCAGAACCCCTGGTTAGATGTGTGAACTGTCTCCATAGCTCACTCTGCCCCAGGTTTCTTCTCAGGGTTCTACGTACATTAACTTCTCTGACTCTCACAGCTAGGTGATGTTGGACCCATTTTACAGAGGAAGGAATCTCAGCCACAGAATATTCAAATAGCTAGTCTACATCACAGTGTCACGCAATGGCTGAGTGTCTAGTTAGGAAGGAATGGGTTCTGTAGTAATCTCCATCTTTATCCAACAATTGCCAAGTCTTAAGTACTATACTTTACTTAGGGGTGTCCAGGAAAAAGCAATTCCTGGTTTATTATTCAAGGGATTCCTACCTTGCTGATGGCTTCAGGAAGTCTGTACTCTCACCACTCTCCCTTTCCCTATTCTGGCTGTATGGAAGCATTTTGGGAGATGGTCTTAGAAATGCCATGAGACTGGCTTTGGAGAGCACTCTTCTCCAGCACAGGGCTTCTCAAACCTCAACCGCATCAGAAGCACCTGGTGGGCTTGTAAGACAGATTGCTGGGCCCCACCTGCTGAGTGTCTGATTCATGGGACCTAAGAATCTCTAACAAGTTCCCAGGTGATGCTGGTCTCGGGACCACGCGTTGAGAACTGCCGATTTCCACAGTGTGTATACACACACACACACACACACACACACACACACACACACACCTGTGCTGTTGCTGGCTCTGAGTAGGGCTGGCATTAGGGTGAAAGAGCTACTTGCAGGACCGGAGAGTGAACAGCTCCTTGTCTTGTTCCCTAAGCACTTGGCTTGCCTCACCCTAGTGCTGGCCCTCAGAAAAGGAAATCAACATCAATCCTTAAGCCAGGAGCCTTAGTCTCTGAGCCCCCGCCTCCGACCCTCTGTCGGGATGGGGGCCCCTGTCACAGCCTGCCTCTGGGTCAGTGGGAATGCCACAGTGTGCTGAACACAACTGCCTCCCAGACCCACAGGAAGTCTCTCTGCTGAGTTGGCACCTCTGCCCCAGAAGGCAGTTAAACAGTCCCCCTTCAGGGAAAACAGGAAGACTCTCACAGAAAAAGGTGATTACAGTTTAACAGTATAATGAACGTACTGTGGCTTTGCTTTCTGCATTCTTTCTAACAAACCACTGCTTTCTGGTTCAGGACTGGGACTACTGGGTTGGCTGGGGAAGTTAATTCATTCTCCTCTGAGTGCTCCAGGGTGGAGCAGGCAGGTTAGGCTCCAGTTGTTCCAGATTCAGTTTTTCAAAGGCCAAAA